CCCACTTCCACGTGCCTGAACAGCATGTAACGCCTTTTCGCACGTTCCTTCATTCTTGCGTGCATAAAATTACTTGATTCATAAAATGAGAGACAGGTCATTCACACCTGTGATTGGCCAATAGTTTTGGTTGACAGTCCATCTCTGTTATATGATTGACCGATGCGAGAAATGATTCACCGTGTCTCCGCCCATTCGTTACGCCCACTGGTTCTCCGGGCTGCAGATAGAAATATTTGGGCGTTCGGCTGTACTGAGTTGGGTGGTTTCAATTTGCGTAGGTTCCTCCTGTGCCAATGGAACGGGGCTTGGAATGATTCGCGGACGTGGGTCATGTGTTGTGTGACGCCGGCTTCGCAGCAAAACGGCCAGGCGAGGACTTCCAAAGACAGTGATCCCGGTGAGCTAGTTCGGTCTGGATATCAGCTGAAAGCCCTTGGCGGAAAGCGGTGATAAGGGAAGCTCCATTCCACCCACTTTGTGCAGCGAAGGTGTGAAAGGTAAGAGCATGATCACTGGCGGTACCACGGCCTCGTGTCAGTCCCGTTAATTGCTCTCCCGCTTCCCTTCTGCCTTAAGGAGGACCAAAAACTGTTCTGACACTTGTTCATAATTGTTACTTATAGCCGGATTTTGAGACCATAGGGCAGTAACCCACTTCAGTGCTCCACCAGTAAGTAGTGAGGTGATAAACATGACTTCAGCATGCTCAGTGGGCGAGGAGGAAGGTGCTGAGAGAAAGATAGATTAGCACATTGAAGTAAAACTCCTCACACACCAGGGTGAAGTTAGTTTTATTTTCGATATTCGTCTGTTCGGCGCTAATAACATTTGATCGGACTACGGTAGTCAGTAAAGACTTACATGTTCATGACAGTCCGACCACAGAGAGTGATGCACACCTGTTCTTTTGCAGTTTGGGTGACATTTAAGGTGCTATTACTTATTAATAATTAATAAGTAATTTTTGCAATGCATTCAAAATTCAAAGGTTGTGTATGATTGCTGACACCTCACTGCACCATACACAATTGTTTGTAGTGTTGGGTGTAATACAGCTGAAATATTATTGAAATTTAAAATACACAAAAATTAATAAAAAGTAGTTACAGCAATATATCTAAAATCCAAAGGCTGTGCATCATTGCTGACACCTCACTGCACCATACACAGCTGTTTTTAATGTTGTAAATAATGCAACTAAAATATTGAAATTCAAAATACACAGAAATTAATAAAAAGTAGTTACAGCAATATATCCAAAATCTAAAAGCTGTGCATCATTGCTGACACCTTGGTGCACCATACACAGCTGTTTTTTGTGTTGTAAATAATGCAGCTGAAATATTATTGAAATTCAAAATACACAAAAATTAATAAAAAGTAGTTACAGCAATATATCCAAAATGTAAAGGATGTGCATCATTGACACCTCACTGCACCATACACAGCTGTTTTAATGTTGTATATAATTTAGCTGAAATAGCTTTATACTTTATATTAATGTTTATGTATTTTGAATTTCAATAGCATTTCAACCACATTACATACATCACTAAAACCATTGTATATGGTTCAGCAAGATGTCAGCAATCATACACAACTTTTGTATTTTGGATTTAATGCAATAAATGCTTTGTATACATTTTTACTTATTTTGAACTTCAATAATATTTTAGCCTCATTACATACAACACCAAAAATAACTGTATATGGTGCAGCTAGGTATCACCAATCATACACATTTTTGGATTTTGGATCTAATGCAACATCTCATTTAAATAATTTTTTATACATTTTGAATTTCAATTAAATTTCAGTCACATTACATACAGCACTACAAAGAATTATGTACAGTGCAGTGAAGTGTCAGCAGTCATACACACCTTTTGGATTTTGGATATAATGCAATAAATACGTTATATATTTTTTAATTTAATTTGAACTTCAATAGTATTTTGCCCATCTTACATACAACAATAAAAACTACTGTGTATGGTGCAGTGAGGTGTCAGCAATGATGCATAGCCTTTAAAGTTTGGACATATTGCTGTAACTACTTTTTATTAATTTTTATGTATTTTGAATTTCAATAATATTTCAGCTGCATTATTTACAACTTTAAAAACAGCTGTGTATGGTGCAGTGAGGTGTCAGCAATGATGCACAGCCTTTGGATTTTGGATATATTGCTTTAACTTTTATCAATTTTGAATTTCAGTAGCATTTCAGCTGTGTTACACCCAACGCTACAAACAATTGTGTATCGTGCAGGTAAGTTTCAGCAATCATACACAACTTTTGAGTTTTGAATGTGCTGCAATAATTACTTTATATTAATATTTGTATTTTAACCTTCAAAAGCATTTCAGCTGCATTAATTGCAGTGAATGCTGCATTTTGAAAATAAGCAGTATTTTAGCTACATTATATCCTCAGGTAAAATTCAAAGTTTGTGTCATTACTGAAACGTATCTGCACCAAACACTGCTGATTTAAATGTTCAATGTCTAAAATGTTATCGAAATTCAAAATGAAAAAATTGTACAATATTTAAAACTTATATCTGACTCACTTAGTGTTTGATGGATTTTAAAAACTTTTGATTTGCAATTTGATCCACTAAGACGTTTTTCTTCTACACTCATTTTTTAAACTAATATTTTAGATGGTTAAGCATCTATTGAACCTTCAGGACTGCTAATGTCTGACGATTACTGAACCTCTGTCATCAAGCTAACTAGCTATATCAGTATACAGGTAATATCAGTTTTTACAGGTAAGGTATGCTCAGTACTGTTAGGACAAGTATTGGCAAGTACATTTTAGTTACAGGTTAATTCAAAGTCCTTTTTCTAAATTAAAGTGGTGTGTATTTCTAACCATAATTTAGAGCAAATAACACAAATAATCGAATGTGCATGGCCACAGTGTTTATGGAGCTATTGATGGGAGAAGCTGATCTGGAGAAGCTGATCTCTGAATGAAGGAACGGCCAGTAGGTGTGACAAATAATGCACAATTATAATCTTTCATGTCTTCGTTGTGTGCACCAACGCACAATACACATAAGCAAAAACATTCGCAGTGCTGGTGAAAAAAGGAAGTGAATCCTTGGATTGAATAATGAGTCGAACCTCCTTTAGCAGCGATAACCTCAAGCTGTGGATCAGACCTGAGGAATATATAAGAGGAATATCGGACTATTCTTCTTCAGCTCATTCATGTTCTTTGGATGTCTGGTGTGCAGCTCTCTTGAGGTCATTCCCTAGCATCTCTATAGGGTTATGGTCTGCGTTCAGACTAGGCCACTCCAAAAGGTAGATTTTGTTTATTTGAAGCCATTCTGTGGAAGATTTACTTCAATGTTTAGGGTCATTGTCCCGCTTAGTGACATACTGAGCTTCATCGAGCACACAGCCACCCTGACATGATCCTGTATAATACCTTGATAAAAATGGGGAATTTATTTTTCCCTTGATGAGGCAGTCAGTCCAGGCCCAGAGGCAGCAAATCAGTCCCAATTATGATGCTCCCTCCATCATACTTCACCATTGGGATTTTGTTTTTTTAATGTTGGATTGCATTGTCCTTTTTTACCCCATATATAGTGCTGTGTCCACCAAACACAGAGCGGCAGCTTCCTCCATGGTGTCCTGCTGTCCTGCCATGGACACCATGCTTGTTTTTCGTATGGTAGACTCGAAATAACAACTTCCAATGATTCCTTTGAGCCTTTAGCTGTTCCTTGGGATCTTTTTCACTTAATTGTGTGTTCTGCACTGCACCTTTGGAGTGATCTTGGCTGGGCACCCACTTCTAGTAGGGGGAAGAAACAACACCAAATCATCACCATTTATCATCAGCAGATGCTTTTTGTGACTAGCGAACTCAAAATACTTGTAGTTAAAAGAGCTCTAATCCATTTCGCCAATCTCATTTCATTGATCTCCATTTAACAGGTTTAAGTCCTGATTCCAAATAGCTTTTGTTGACTCATTAGCCTAGAGCAGGGGTCGGCAACCCAAATGTTAAGAAGAGCCATTTTGTTCTTTCCATAAAAATCAAACCACCTTGGGAGCCACAACATTTTATGTCCGTTTTACCATCTTGGCTGTAAATATGTCTCAGTATGTACAAATGTACTAGTATACTATTGTACTAGTATAATATAAACGAAAAACACAGACTTACTTTGCTCTGCTTTAAGCTTTAGCTCAGCTATAGCTGCTTTTCTCACATCTCCAGCAGGAACCCTTTCCTCTAAAGTAGAATAGTTTCTTGTAAAATGTCTCTCAACATTTGATTTTTATGAGGCTGAAGTCGCTTCTCATTCGCTGGTTAGTTAGTTGTTAGCTAGTTGTTAAAATTTTCCCGTTCCACCTTAAGTGATGCCTGAGGTGCCGGAATGTAACTGCTGCACCATTTAAGTTGGAACTGGAAAGTTTGAACGAGAAGCTGAGCTTCGTGACTTTTTAGCGATTGACAGTTTCTGGCTGCAGATTCAACATATAAGCAAACCAGCTGGAGTGATTATAAAGGTCCATTCATCATCAAATTATCCATGTTCATCTTAAATCTTTCTCTTTGCCTTTTTGTTAGCTACTAACCAGGTGAGATTGTTATCTGCGTTGCTATGGTGACCAACAGTCTGCGTGCCAACCTTCAGGGTTAAAGGGTGAATTAGCAGTTATACATTAACTCCAGTGTTTCAGACCGTTTAATGTTAAACTGTGTTGAACGACCAGCTGAGCTTTATTTTACTGCAAAGGAGGATTATTTTATTATTACCTACAAATCTAATTCTGCTGTGAAGCCACAACAGGACAGTAAAAGAACCGTATGTTGCCGACCCCTGGCCTAGGGGTTCACATGCTTTTTCCAGCCTACACTGTGAATGTTTGAATAATGTATTCAATACGGACAAGAAAAAAACATTATTTTTTTGTGTAATTAGTCTAAACTGATTGTGTTTGTTCTTTATTGTATCTTGATGAAGATGAAGACTAGACCATATTTTAAGATGACTGTACATAAAAGGAGTTAATACTGTTTTTGCCCTCTCCTGTAAGCTTACCACTTTGGAGATATCTCAATGATATCTGAGATACTTTAACTATTAGTCACTAAAAGTTAGGCTACATATCACATTCAAGTCTGTTTATAACTGCTATAGTGCCAACTTGCTTGACCAATGTTGCATATTTATGATCGCTGGCAAGTCAGCAAGGTTGTGATTATTTGAAAATAATTGCCTTCAGGGCGGGGCCGCATCACGCCACCCTGTCGTGGATTAGTATCCAATAATCATACACAGTCCTGCTTCAGCCCTTACTTGATTTCATTACGTTGAGGAAACAGTGACCCCTGAAAAGCTAATAGCAACATGGATGAAGTCCTTATTCCAAAATAAGCACCATGTATTTTGGAAGATTTACATTTTAATCGTGAAATATTACTATTTGGTCTGAATTTTTTAGCCTTACATGGATGTTTGGGTCCAAAGTTCAGTGACTGCAGAAAGCATGGTACATGTAAATGTCTACACATCAGTTAGGTCATAACAGGAAGCCCGTAACTGTGATCGATCGAGCCATGCATGTGACCTCAGAGAGCAGAGCAGTGGTTGTTATGGTTAATGTGTGACTGACAGGTGGACCTGAGAGCGACAAGTGATTGGATGACAAGCCACTAGGGTTAGCCTATGGTCCTGAACTTGACATTTTACAATACCGTAGTACACATTTCTTGCTGCCTCTCAACACATCTAAAGCTCTTTTGGGTTACTCACTAAGTCCTGGTTCCCCTCAAGAAATCTAAGGTAAGTCTTCCTGCCTTTCAATAAATCTGAAGCTCTTCTAAATTAGCCTAATGTTCCTGACCAGCTTAAATACTGCAGCTGTCACAGCTTTGGTGTTGAGACCTAAGCACATGCTTATTTACTGCTCCTGATTGGTCCTGTAGTCAATATGTAAAATGTTTGGACTGTTTGGGAATACTGAATCTTGCTCTGTGTCATGCACAGCTGACCGATTCGTAAGTGTAAGCATGTCTCGGATGGAGAGTGCCGTCAACTTCCAGGAGATGATCAGGCAGAAACGGGATGGTGGTCAGCTCAGCTCAGAAGAGATCTGTGCTTTCATACAAGGAGTCAAGTCGGCCAACATACAGGAATGTCAAATAGGTGAGTTCATGCTGGGTAGTGTTTTACTTTTACACCTTCCTAGTCTCATTGCAACAGAAACTGCATGGTAAAAGAGCATGATCAGTACTGTGCAAAACTCTTAGGACACCTAATAAAATAAACAAAGTAGTTCAGGGTGGTTTGATGTGAAATGCTCCATTCTAGAAAAACTTGCCAGGAAAAGAATATTTACAGTAGTGTTCATGGGAACCAGACGTCTGAAGAGTTTATTACCTCTGAAATCTCCCTCACAGAAAGTTATTACACAAAATGGTTATGAATACATTGCCTGATGCCCGAGACACTGTTTTACAATAATTTTGAGATAAGATTTTTTGAAAAAAAAACATTTTTTAAATCCATTAATGGCAGAGAGGTATAGTAGGTATAGTCAGGGCATTGTAAGGAAAAATACTACACAAAGAAAACTTATTTTTACAGATTTACCACTATTTCAACCTTTCAACAATATATATATATATATATATATATATATATATATATATATATATATATATATATATATATATATAAACTCAGAAGACGTGTAGGTTTTGGATAGTAAATAAATTGGCTATATTTGCATTGTAGACATCGCAATCCCTGGTTCACCATCACTGTCAGGGCCAATTCAAGCCTTCTGGGGGCCTTAAGCAGGGGTCCCTCATCTTGCTAGCTGACGTATTGTAAGATTGAAGGCTAACTAATAGCACTGACTACCACAGTCTGTCTAAATTATGTACATCTAAACTGGCTAATTTGTGTATTGCTGATGATTGGATGCTTGTTTGGAATTTGATAAGTAACAGTTGGATTTACAGATAACCTCCTCAGCATTCTGGATCCACGGCTCTGTCTCATATTGCAGTATTTCTTGCTTACTCAGCTAACTTTAAGCTTAGTGAGCTCTAACCCTGGTGGTGACAGGTTGTTTTACCACTATAAATGCTTTACTGTCTACATATTTAGGTTATATGATTTCTTTCATGTGCAGGTGAGCTAGGATTAATCACGGTCTGACTATCTAAACCTGAGTTAACAGAAGTTTGGAAGGCAAACCCCAGATCCACTACTTCTATTTGCCTAATTATAAACCAAAACAAATGGCATAATGATAACATCACAACAAAAACTAAACATTCTTTTAGAGTCAAGCTTCTATTTTTCTTTTCTGTTTTTTGGCTCCAGATGTGTAAAATTGTTTTTGAGACATGATTAACCAATAAACCAGAAGTTGTTAGGGCGCCCCCTGGAGGCCCTGGGGCCCTAAGCAGCTGCTTATGTCGCTTATTAGTTAGAGCCAGCACTGACCATTGTAAATAAACCATTTCACATTAAACCACTCTGAATTACGCAGAACATTTTTTAACATTTGGTGGAATTCCCATTTCAAGCTTTTATCTGGGCTGAAAATGTCAGAATGATATCTCTGTGAGGCACTCCAGAGTTTGTAGTGTCCTAAGAGAGTGACCTAAGAGACAGATACGGTGGAATCACACATGAAGGACACAAAGAGATATGATAGGAGACAAGGCTGTGATAAAAGAGAATAGAAAGACCAAGATGGAAAAGAAATGGAGTAAGAAGTCTTGAAGGAAGACGATTGAGGTGGTTGTGCTGTAGAATCGTGAGTATGAAGTGCGTACCATGTTTTCCTGTGAGGGAAGGTGTTCTATGCTGTATTTTATAGGTGCCATGCTCATGGCCATCTGGCAGAAAGGTATGGTGGACGAGGAAACTATGGCATTAACAAAGGAAATGATGATATCAGGGGATGTTTTCCACTGGCCTGAGGAGTGGGCAGAGCTTGTGGTGGACAAACATTCTACTGGTGGAGTTGGAGACAAGATCAGCCTGCCATTAACTCCTGCTTTGGCTGCCTGTGGGTGCAAAGTGAGTAGAGTGGTTTCTTATAAATGTATTGTAGGAAATATCATACCTGGCTTACGAAGGGGCGCAACTGTCTGAGCGACTTCAGTCCCCGGCGATGCCACAGTCATCTGTGGTTGGGAGTCCAAGTTGGTAGGATGGTCCTCCCTTTCCCTCCATTACTCAGCACAATGCAGGTGTTTGTTAGCTGACCCAACAAAACTGGCAGTAATGGCAGAGAACTTGTAGAGAGGAGAATTAGCACTCTGCAGTCTCTTCCGGGGTTCTCTAACGCTAGAGGGCGCTCCCAAGCGATTCCAAAATGAATGGGTTACAATGAGGCATTTGAGCAAAATCATAAAGTTTTAAAATGCTTATACATTTACAATATATTACATTCATTTCCAGAACACTGAACAGCATAAAACATTTTAACACTGCTGTTATATTTTTAAGAGCTTTTGAATTCGAGTTCATGATGTCAGTGAGCATGAACAGCCAATGAGCTGCTTTGCTCGCCAACCAATCAGCACACAGAAAACAAAAAATGTGCCTGCACAGAACTTTTTTTTCTAACAGTGTACTGTGTATAGGGTCTTGTCAGCCTCCATATGATTCAAATTTGTCAGGTAAAAAAGCTGATTCATTTGAATGGTAAAGGATGCAGAATACACACACACACACACACACACACACACGCACAAACATCTTCTAAGCCGCTTTTCCATCTGGGTCGCCGGGGGGAGCTGGAGCCTATCCCAGCAGTCATCGGGTGGAAGGCAGGACACACCCTGGACAGGTCACCAGTCCATCGCGGGGCAGAGAGACGGATGGACATATACCTTCACACACACACTCACAAGGATGCAGAATATGAAAAAAGCAAATTGCTTCTGGCAGCATTTAATTTTGCTTTGCATCAAGTTCATCAAGATTTGTGAATATTTGTTAGAATAAAATATACGGGAGCAACTGCATAAGTTTACTCCTCCTCTAATAAAAGTGGGGGTGCATGTGGCACGACAAAGCACTATTTTACTCCATTTACTTACAGCATCTATAGAAAGTCACATTATATTGAATAGAAAAGTTTACTGTTTCTAATCACTTTCTGGATACTTCAGGTCCCCATGATAAGTGGACATGGACTGGCACACACTGGAGGGACACTGGACAAGCTGGAGTCCATCCCTGGGTTTAACATCCACCAGTCTGTAGAGCAGGTACAAAACAGACACCTCGCAAGAGACTGTTATTGTTAGTTAATGTGTTACTGACTTTAACTGGTGCTGCTGGTGAGCAGTACTGGATATAAAATCTCACTCATTCTGACCTAGCCAGTGTTTGTGTGTGGGTAGGTGAGGCAGATTCTGCAGGATGTGGGCTGTTGCATTGTGGGTCAGACGGAGACTCTGGTGCCTGCGGACAGAGTTCTGTATGCTCTCAGGGACGCCACAGCTACTGTGGACAGTATCCCCCTGATCACAGGTGAGATCAGCTGTGAAGCTTGTGTTAAAGAAAAGGATGTATATTAGAGAACTGAAAACCTCTTGACTTGAAATTTAATAGATTTTTTATTAAATTTAATAGAAGCTAATGGGCGGTTTTGTGAATATACATTTGAAATATATGACTATCAGGTCAAAAACTTGATGTCAAGCTGGGGGGCATGGACGGGCTTTGCATGTCCTGAGAAAACCCCAATTCCCCCCATCCAAACCTGCTTGTTGGTAATTTTAATAGAAATAGTGGTAACACTTTCTACGATTGTCGCATTTGTAAGCATCTATAAACACATTTATAACATGTTATAATGTATTCATAAGGCATTATAAACATGGTTATAAATATTTATAATAAAGAATTACACTGAATTACACTTTATAGCCATGTTTATTATACATTATGAATTGTTTATATGATGCATTATAAGTAGTGTTAATAACATGTTATAATGTCAGTGCCAAAGAAGTCAGTCCCAGCTTGGAGAGCATAAAGTAAAGACAAATACCAAGCTAACGGTGGTGCACATTACCTTTCCCACATTGGGTTAAGCACTGATGGCAGCACTAGTTTAAACTCTGACATTTGAAGCCTGTAATGTGCTTTATTGTGTATGTTTTAGTGTTTCAGTAAATCCTTCAGTAATACTACAACTTGAAGCCTCACTCTTAACACTGGAGGAGGTTTTAGTACAGTATGCTTCACTTTACTTAGAGCGGACAAATACAACCTATGAGCTCTTATAATTTGTTATGATCAGTACTTATAATGTATTATGTTAACAATTCATAATGCATAATAAACATGGCTATAACGTATAATGCGTTTTTATAAATATTTCTAGCTATGTTTATAATGTCTTATGAATGCATTATAACATGTTATGAATGTGTTTATAGATGCTTACAAAGGTGACATTCATAGAAAGTGCTACCGAAATATTTTATATCAGTATGCTTTGTTTGTCTGATTACTACTACAATAATTATAATTCCACTTGCTAACTCTGGAATTTACAGTGTTATACACAGTGCAACACATTTACTCTCAACACTGGGTGCAATGTGTACTTAAGGAAGATCTACCTTAAATAGGAATAGTCCTGTCTGGCCATTTTCAGTGACAGAATGGGCTGCATCGTGTCAGACGTTTGAAAAAAAAAATCGGTTTTGCCATTAAAGCCATTTCAGAATGAAAAAACATACCATTCTGAAGTGACCATAAAACTGTATAATTTATAACGTCTTTGTTGGAAGTGATAGAAGAGAAATGAGCTGCAGTACGAGAAGGAAACGTAAACAGCGAAGTCTATGAAGGCAGTTTATGAATGAAAAACAAATTCACCTCTGTGTTTTTCAGGTAATTTTGCTGCAATGTCAGTGCAGCACTCTTTCCAGCAGGTAAAGCAGTGTTAGCTCAGTTATTATACACAGCCCAGCTCGGGCTTTCTGTTTTGGCACGGTGGCGCAGTGGGTAGCGCTGTCGCCTCACAGCAAGAATGGCCTGGGTTCGATTCCCGGCCGGGTGACCAGGGTCATTTCTGTGTGGAGTTTGCATGTTCTCCCTGTGTCTGCGTGGGTTTCCTCCGGGTACTCCAGTTTCCTCCCACAGTCCAAAAACATGCAGTCAGGCTGATTGGAAATGCTGAATTGCCCCTAGGTGTGAGTGTGTGTGTGATTGTGTATGTCTGTCTGCGCTGCGATGGACTGGTGACCTGTCCAGGGTGTATCCTGCCTTCCGCCCAATGACAGCTGGGATAGGCTCCAGCACCCCACCGTGACCCAGAAGGATAAGTGGTTTAGATGATGGATGGATGGATGGATATATATGTGTATGTATATATGTATGTGTGTGTGTGTGTGTGTGTGTGTGTATATATATATATATATATATATATATATACACACACATATATATATATATATATATATATATATATATATATATATATATATAATTATATATAAGAGAGAGAGAGAGAGATATTTTGGACTGCAAATGCACACTTGTTGGCTGGTGTACAGACTCAAGTCGAAAATGTTTGCTTTTTTGTCTGCACAGGCTCGATCATCTCAAAGAAGGGCGCTGAGAGTCTGCATGCACTTTTGTTAGATGTGAAGTTTGGTAAAGCTGCTCTGTATAAAGACCTGGACAGTGCTCGGACCCTCGCCCAGTCACTGGTGAGACCTAGTTCGGTATGAGTATGTGTGTGAGCAGGTACTGTAAACAGTGTTGTTACAGTTCTGGGCCTCTATCTGCAGGTTAACGTGGGAAACAGCTTGGGTATGAGGTCAGGTGCGGTGCTTAGCCGAATGGACGCTCCCATTGGCCGTTGTGTGGGGAATACTTTGGAGGTATATGAAGCCTTGGAATGCCTCAAAGGACGGGGCCCTGATGACCTGAAAGAGCTGGTCACGTTTTTAGGTAAGGTCCTCTTAGTAAAAGCATGCAAGTGATCCAAAAGAAGCCATACCTACTCAGTGAGTGTCTTTCGATTCCAATACAAAAGTTGTTCCAATACAAATAGACCAGTTTCATTTTCTGGCAAGTCAGTAAAATAGCTGTACAGCTGGTTAAGCTCCTTTATGTGAAGTAGACACAGACCAAGTTCAGCGAGGACTTGTGTGTTCATCACCATGTTATCATGTTAAGCAGACAATAACTCCCTCCACAGTTGGTAGCTTTATTAGAAACCTTCCACAATTATCAGCTTCTGTCAGCTGTCCATCTGACCCTACCGAGTTAGATATTATGACCAAGCTCTTAGAGGAAAATTTTCGATCAGTTAGAATCTACAAACCTGCTTCCCCATAATGCCAGCCTCAACCTTGAGAATATTATGATCCCTGCAGAGGGGCTGGAATCATTTACCTTACTTCAAGAAAATGATATAGTTAAAATCGTTTCTTCCGCAAAATCATCTACTTGTATGTTAGATCCGATTCCTACAGGTTTACTCAAGGAAAGTTTAATAATATTAAGTTTAATAAACTCTTCTCTTAGCCTTGGATACATAAAATCTCTTAAACTAGCAGTAATTAGACCACTAATTAAGAAAGCCAACCTCGATCCCTGTGAACTATCAAATTATAGACCCATAACAAACATCAGTTTGTTAATTTAAACGGGGAATCATCTGCCCTCGCAAAAGTAAAGTATGGTGTTCCACAAGGCTCTGTTTTAGGATCTGTATTTTTCACACTATATATGCTACCACTGGGCACCATTATCAGTAAACACAGCATAAATTTCCACTGCTATGCCGATGACACTCAGTTATATTTAGCAAGCGAACTGGATGATAAAATTAAACTTGGCAAGATTGAGGACTGTATAAAAGACGTAAAAGACTGGATGTCAAGTAATCTTCTCCTTCTTAACTCGGATAAAACAGAGGTTCTGCTTCTTGGTCCAAAAGCAGCTAAAAACAAACTGTCTAATTTTACACTTAAACTTAACAATTTCTCAGTTGCATCAAGCTCATCTGTAAAAAACCTTGGTGTCATGATAGACCCTGATCTGTCCTTCGACGCACATATAACTGATATTACTAGAATAGCCTTCCTGCATCTCCGCAATATTGCTAAATTGAGAAATGCATTTTCTCTACAGGATGCAGAAAAGTTAGTTCATGCATTTATTACTTCAAGGCTAGATTACTGTAATGCCCTGCTGGCTGGATGTCCAAGTAAAAGCCTTAACAAGCTTCAGTTAGTCCAGAACGCTGCAGCCAGAGTTCTTACTAGAACAAGAAAATTTGACCATATCAGCCCAGTTTTATCAACCCTACACTGGTTACCCGTTAAATTTAGCGTTGATTATAAAATTCTCTTACTGACTTATAAAGCACTAAACGGACTCGCCCCTCAGTACCTGAGTGAACTTCTCTCCCACTATGAACCATCACGCCTACTTAGATCACAAGGTGCTGCTTCCTATTAGTACCTAGAATTAATAAAGTTACATCAGGGGGGAGAGCTTTCTCATACAAAGCCCCCCAGCTTTGGAATAATCTTCCTGTTAATGTTCGGGACTCAGTGTTTAAGTCTAGGCTAAAAACTTACTTGTATAGTCAAGCCTTTGGTAATTAGTTTTCCCTGTCAGTTCTATACCTGCCAGAGTCTCCGCTGCTCTGCTAACACTGTAATCTGTGATCAGTCACCCATTACAGAACTGACTCTCTGTGTTTTTCCTTTCTTTCTTTTCTTTGCCGAGTTGAACAGCTGCCCATCCTGTGCGTTCTGATGCTGCTGCCTCTTCTGCCTTGATCGGGTGCCACTGCTGCCAGCCCTCTGGACCGGCTTGACCACCATTGAGCTTCATTCTGTACAACGCCGTGCAAACCTCACCCTCACAACCTGACCCCACTGATGCTGCCGCTGCTGCTGCTGCATAAACTAATCAAATTAATCATTTGCTCCACCTTTTTTACCCGTTTTTGTACTAACAATGTTTACTGTCCGGTGTCGACCAGAGGAGGATGGGTTCCCCTTCTGAGTCTTGGTTCCTCCCAAGGTTTCTTCCTGTTTCTCTTAGGGAGTTTTTCCTTGCCACTGTCGCCACTGGCGACGCTCATGGGGGCTCGGACCCGGATTTCTTTCTGTAATGCTGATTTTTTTGTAAAGTTTTGTAAAGCTGCTTTACAACACCTGTTGTAAAAAGCACTATATAAATAAACTTTGCTTGCTTGCTTGCTAAACAAATAATGTCTACCAATACCTCACACACTGTAGCATTACATTTGAGAGCTCCTTCTCAGCTACAGCAATGAATGAATCAAATAAGCCACCATTTTTTTTTATTTCTGAACAGCTCAGTCCTTGAGATGTAAAAAGTGCTGTTTAGAGTGGTTTGATGTGAAGTGGTTTGTTGTAGAGAAACTTACAGACTCTGGTGTCTTTACAGTGGTGATGATAAGAACCAGGGGTTGACCTTGAACATGGTCTATATGTCTATTTTATTTACCATCCAGGATCACCAGTGAACCTACACATCTATTTTGCCTTATAACACCCTGCATGTATCCCTCCACCATGAATACTTGACAATAAATGGATTAAAATACATTTTAAACTTTAAATATCTGTGTTATATGCTCCGAACTGTAGTGACACTGACATGGTGGTGGTGTTTTAGTGTGTGTTGTGCTGGTACGAGTGGATCAGAGACAGTATGTCTCCAGTGAGGTTTTTAAACACCTGAGTGTCACTGTTGGACTGAGAATAGTTCACCAACCAAAAATATCCAGCCAACAGTGTCCTGTGGGCAGCGTCCTGCGACCACTGATGAAGGACTAGAGGATGACCAACACAAACTGTGCAGCAGCAGATGAGCTATCGTCTCTGACTTTACATCTACAAGGTGGATCGACAATGTAGGAGTGTCTAATAGAGTGGACAGTGAGTGGACACAGTGTTTAAAACTCCAGCAGCACTGCTGTGTCTGATCCACTCGTACCAGCACAACACACACTAACACACCACCACCACGTCAGTGTTACTGCAGTGCTGAGAATGATCCACCACCCAAATAATACCTGCTCTGTGGTGGTCCTGTGGGGGTCCTGACCACTGAAGAACAGGGTAAAAGGGGGCCAACAAAGTATGTAGAGAAACAGATGGACTACAGTCTGTAACTGTAGAACTACAAAGTGCACCTATATAGTAAATGGAGCTGATTAAATGGACACTGAGTGTAGAAAGTGTATGTCACAAAACATTTGACACAGAATCACAGATTGGCTGATTGAATCTTGATCTAGGTGTAAATCGGCCTAATCTTGGGAAATTCGTATTTTACAACCTTCCAGTGGTGCTGTTGCCCTCACAAGTCCAAAATAATCAGCTTTGAATCAATTATTAACAGCATGTAAAACATTGTAGGTTACTGGTTGCCCTTGTTTCTACTTATTATTCAGATTGCATATTGTACACATAAGTTGCACAACAACAAATGGAAACCTCATAAAACTGGCCATAAAAAAATCCCAGATTTTTTCAAACATCATAGAATCTCTGTCAGTTTGCTCGATGATACCTCCTGGTTCATGTCTGTAGCCCGAGGGCTGAGAAGAACCTGGGAGAAAGAGTTGTCTCTAATAATCAGAGAAACACCGGTAGATGTCTGGAGATTTGTTGAATCTATTTCAGCTTGTAATCGTACCAAGGCAAACCAGATAAAGATACAGATATCTCCAGACGTCAGACAAGAATTCTCATAGTGCAGAGACAGGTCTGGTACAGGGCCTGTGGTTGTGCTTTAAGATACAGAGGCTCTGATACAGGATCCCTAACGAAACGGAAAAGACTTACCGTCGGATTTTGTATCTTTAATAGAAATATTTCTTCTGTGACTAATCAAAGGTTGTATAACATCCTTGGCAGCAGGGAAAAATATATTATTAGAGAAGATTAGCAATAAGACACCCTCTGGAAACGGAAGGCGTAAAGTACTGTATAACTGCACACCTTCAGTCTCACATGTGGTCATTTAAAGACCAGTTTAAACAGTGTGGAGACCCTTTCTGAACTGTGTGGATACTTTTCAGTCAGATATTATGTTGGAGAGATTTGCTTAACAAGGATAGAGCACATTATTCTCAGTGTGGTGATCTTAGACTGAGCTGTTTTGCTTCCTTTGTTGTTGTTGTTTGTTGTTGTTAACTTGTTTGTGTATTTTTTTTTTCTTAAAGGACCCATATCCTACATTTTTCATGCATTTTATTTTTTAGATATGAGGTTTTGTTTTATATATATATTTGTTTGTTTATTTGTGTATTTTCTTGTTCTCTTTTTCTTCAGTACATCACTGTATGTAGTACCCACTTAAAAAAAACAAAGCGTTCTTGAGCTGGATGTATGGTTCTAGGAAAAACATGAAGTAGTGTGGAGCCTTTCTATTATGAAGAGGTTCTTTACATTTTAACAAGGTTTTTCACTCAGAAATCTCATTTACTAAAGCAGTTTTTTAAAGAACAACTCAACAGATATGCTGTTGATAAAAACACAAAGATTTCAGTCATGGACGCCCAAAGAAAGCCTGCTTTTAGGAGTAGCTTTTCAAAGCTGCCCAACATTTTTTTGCCCATCTGCGAACAAAAAGTCACTATTGAGTAAAAAATGGTCCCAAACAATAGTCAGTATAAAACATCACCAGCAGTGAGCACTGGTATACTCACTGGCCTCTAATGTCACTTTCAGCAGCTTTTGAAAAACGTCCACAACTCCTTAGCTCCATCTTCTGGACAAAAAAAACCTCTTTATACAAGTTGCAGAACGGAATGCAGGAGCGGTCACTCACATTGTGTGGTTGCATGTAGGTGGCTGTTTGCTGTGGATGAGCCATCGATCACCTAGTCTAGAGAGTGGACAGAGGATGATCGCTGAGGTCCTGACAAACGGCGCAGCCCTGCGCAAGTTCCAGGCCATGATGGAGGCCCAAGGGGTCTCCACACAGGTTGCCCACTCCCTCTGCTCACAAACGACTGATTACTTCGAACACCTAAGACGGGCAAAGTATCAGACAGAGCTTCAGGCTTCAGAGGATGGTAATATATACAGAATGTCTGTTATTATGTGGTATAAATGTCTATATCAGCAACCAGCATAATAATGCTAGCACAGAAGCACAAGAACTGTGATGTCACAACCATGAACACCATTATATTTGACCGTCCATTCTGTCAAGAGTAGTGCAGCTTGCCTATTCACAAAGAAGTGATAAAGGTGCGGAAGATGTGGGAAAACGATTACACATTCAGATGGTTCTTCAAGGGTTCTTTAGTAAAAGGAATGGTTCCAATGAGAACGAAGAGGTCTGTATAGAACCATTTCATGCTTTAAAGGTTTTTTGCATGGTGAAATGGTTATATATAGCACCAAAAAGGGTTCTGCTGTTGTTACCTTGTCAAGCCTGTAACAACTGAGGAACCAATGGAAGAATTTTAAAAAGACTCTATATAGAACCATTTATAACACATTCTCTATCCATCTGAAGAGCCATTTCACCCTGCAAGGAAGCATATAAGCATGAAGTGGTTCTATGTAGGACTTGTGATTCTAAATAGAGCCACTGCCTTTACTAAAGAACCCTTGAAGAACCGACTTTTTTAAGGATGTTGTGATCCTGGCTGACCAGAAGCAAAGGTATGACCACAGCTTACCAAAGATCCACACATCCGATACATGTGTCTCTAATCTATTTGTCCCTGATATTTCAGCCCAGACAGCTGAGGCACAATACAGGGCAGCCAATCAGAACAGATCTAAGGAATTCCACTGATTTCATTAATTAAATTAATAAGATTCAACAACTAGGGTTCACCTCTCACTCTGTTCACCCCCCACACATTTATATTACACATGTGGTGTTGGGTGAACCTGCGGGGAATAAAAGTGTGGAGGTGCTGTGTCCTTCACTCTGTTCTCCTCCTACATGGCCTGCTGTCAGTGTGTGTGTCTGTGTGTGTGTGTGTGTGTGTATGTGTTTGTATATGTGTCTGTGTGTGTGTGTTGGTGGACAACATGGACAGGCTGCTGACTGGCTACAGCTGCTAAAGGAGAACCCTACACTGGGCACTTGTGATATTTTAAACATCTGGTATTTTTACATAAATTGTTATGGCTGTGTTGATTTAAAAAAAACAATAATGAGGTGGGTCTCCAGACCACTGAGTAACAAATTCATTGAGAGTGGTTTGATGCAAAACATGCCATTCTAGTGAAACATACTGCGCCAGAATTGTTCACAGTGGTGGTGATAGGAACCAGATGTCTGAAGAGTTTAATGCCTTCAGTTATAAACAAAAATTATTACTTAGAGAAAAGGAATTATGATATTTTACAATGTTATGAGTGGAATTTTGAGGGAAAAATAAAACACCAGAAAAATCTGGAAAACTGTGCAAACACAAATGATTTTCTCAGAGGTCAGAATGGCACTGTATGATTTTCAGGGACGGTTCTGGACATAGATGGCATGGTCATAGCCACTGTGCTGCATAAATTAGGAGCTGGACGCACCAAGGCTGGGCAGTCAATCAACCACAGTGTGGGAGTGGAGCTTCTAGTAGACTTGGGACAGCAGATACAGAGAGGTGAGTAGTAAGGCCTGTGTTCATGCTTGTGTTTGTGTGTTTACTGCAGGACAGAATGACAAATGTTGACTTGATTGGCAGGTCAGTCCTGGATCAGGATCCATCATGATTGTCCAGTACTGAGCCCAGAGCAGCGCTCTGACCTTCAGGGAAGTTTGCTTGTCGGTGGCAGAGACACTTACCAACCCAGACCCCGAGTGGCAGAGTTCATTCAACCGCCTGACATCAGACCCACCCAACACGGCCTCTCTTAAGCTGACGGAAGCACATAAGAATGACCGTCAGCTTTCTGTGTTTTACTGATCATTTAAAGGTGCCTGTACAGAACAGAATACAGTACTTTGTATGAAATGACCATAAATACTACACCAAGTAAATGCTGATGAGTGAAAATGGAGAACAATGAAAGCGGTACCCTCTTAAAAAAGATGTTCTTCAAGGGTTCTTTAGTGAAGGGAATGGTTCTATTTAGAACCATTTATGCTTAAAAGGTTCTTTGCATGGTGAAATGGTTCTTCAGATTGATGGAGAAGTTGCACATGGTTCTGTGTAGCACCAAAAAGGGTTCTTCTGTTGTTATGATGTGAATTGTAACAATAGAAGATCCCCTTTTGGTGCAATATAGAACTATTTTCATAAATGTAGACAAGACAGTCTTCACCTATCTGAAGAGCCATTTTACCATGCAAAGAACCTTTTAAGCATGAAATGGTTCTATCTAGAACTCATGGTTACACATCCTTCTGGGTCGTGGAGGGAGCTAGAGGCTATCTCAGCAGTTATCAGGCGGAAGGCAGGAAACACCCTGGACAGGTCGCCAGTCCATCGCAGGGCAACTCAGGGTTATAAATAGAAACATTCCCTTTACTAAAGAACCCTTAAAGAACCATCTTTTTAGAGAGATTCTTTTTTGTAGAGACAAAAGTAAAAAAAACAATAAACACAAAACATGTATACTTTGAACTTTTACTGGCGAGGAAATCAAAGAAGAATTCCACTAATTTTTCAAAGTTTTCACATAATTTAGTTGAGATGTGAACAAAGTCATTTCAGGGAGGTTTGATCTGAAATGCATCATTCTAGAGAAACTTGCCAACTCTGATTTTCCTTTCAGTGGTGATGATAGGAACCAGGAGTTGAACCAGGTAATAAAGTGATGTCTACAATGCAATTATAGCCATTTTAATCACTATCAAAAGATGATGATAGTGAAATACGGGTAAATCTTTATTAAGGGGTGAAATAGGGGTAAATCATTATTCCTGGGGACTATTTTGCCTTGCATGTATCTATTCACCATGATTTAAAAATATGTTTTACTCTAAAACCTTCTCAAAACAATTGTAAAACAATGTATCAGGTATCAGACAATATAGAAACTTAGTCATATTCATTTAATTATACAGGAATTTTGAAAAATCGGTGGAACTCCCCTTTGAGAATTGTTGCATGCTGCCTGTTGGTAATAATATTATTCATCTATTCAAGTGCAGACTATATTTTTAGGGGTCCAAGCACCTTTAGGTGGCTTTTGCTATGATTTTTCTTCTTCTTCTTCTTCTTAGTATTCTTTTTCTTCCCTAACGCAGTTTGCGGAGAAGACACCGTAAGTCATCCAAAGACCAAACTTAGAGGGTGGGCGTAGATTCCCCCTCAACTACTCAGGCAACTGAAATGACCCCAGTTGGCCTGATGGTGGTGCTATAGTGTATTTTACGTTTTTGCCCATATCTCCTGAACCATGGGGGCTACACTTATAATTCCTGCTTCTACATAATCCTTGCTTTATTCTACACCAACGCTCCACTGCATGTTTTTAGCTCCGTCCCCACATTTATCATCATAATTGGCAAAATATGTGACATCTACATTTTTATACTAGTCTGAGGTTTTTTTAAATTTGAATATTTATAAACAGTATGGCTGCCACGTGCCAATTAAGCCCCTCTGGGTTCACATAAATGGCTACAGATCGAGATTGCTGTGGCCAATTCTCATCAAACTTACCTGTCCTGTACCCCACATGATTCTGCGGTCAGGAAATCATATAACTTGGAAATCATATAATTTGATTTCAAGAAATTTTAATTAGCACCAGAGGTGTTTTATATTTCTCTGGCCACCAGAGGGAGCCAAATCAGCAACTGCAAATGTCAATGCTGAACTAATTAATAAAAAATATACAGAAAGTGGAAAGCTTTACTGTATGTGTTTAGGTCAAGACCATTTCGGTATTTTATGCCTTCCACCGTGCCTGACAATTTTGCAAATACAAGTCTTTTAAAAAAACTCTATTGTTTTTCTAGCATTGTCTTAAACTTTAAACAAGGGTTTCAGAACAACCACTGAAGTCTCAAGATCAATAATTGTTTAAAAAATCTTGCCTTTTAAGCACAATGTTATTGCAAGTTATAGAATAATCAGTTCGGTACAGTCTATTCTGAAACAAGTGACCACAAATCTGTCACTTATGCTCTGATTGTGACCAAAATCGATTTGTATATTGATAATAATCTGTTGAGGAAATGTATGACATTTGTTTTGATTCTGCTTATGTTAGCTCTTACAATGTTCAATTTACTGCCAAAAATCTAAAATGTAATTACTCCTGTCTAAGAATAAAAACAATAAAAACATGACAATTGTTTCAAATTATGCATCTTGATGAGAATTGTCACTTTGCAAATATGTGTAGGTTGTACTGTGCAGGAAATCCTATTATGTGATTTCAGCAAATTTTGTTCAGAGCAAGTTTTTCTCTGGCCACCAGAGGGAGCCACATCAGTAACTGCACATCATTGTCGACATATACATGGGAAGCTTTACTGTTTGTCTTTAAGCAAAGAGCATTTCTGAATGTTATGTTTTCCACTAAGCCTAACAATTTTGCAAATACAGGTCTTAAAAAACTTTCAGTAATATCACAGTTGAAAAAAGACGGAGAATAGACGTTTCTTCCAAATTCTTGAGTTTAAATCAAATTTAATTTTTCTTAAAACAATCATATTGAAAATATCATGACTTAAGCACAGTGTGGCTGAAGATTTGAATAAATTGGTGTGAATTGGCTTATTCTGCCATAAAAGGCTAAAAATACACCAATAATTGTCTGAATATAACCAAATTTGACACAAATATACAAAATGACCCCCAACCGCTCCCTGGGCGCTGTAGATAAGGCTACCCACCACTCCGGGCAAGTGTGCTCACTGCCCACTAGTGTGTGTGCATTCGCCAGTGTGTATGCTGTGTTTCACTGTACGGATCGTTTAAATGTGGAGGTGAAATTTCCCTGTTGTGGGACTAATAAGGGTCACTTAATCTAATCTATAAACTATGGCAAGACAATGCATCGCTCATGAACAGACCACCACTCAATTTTCCCTAAACCCTGCTGTACAAATCGCGTTTTAACCTTGCCTTGTCAAATAAAACTCAATAGCTTTGCAACACAGAATCTTTTATTATTTTAGAAACAGATGGACAGCCATCCAAATCCAGATTTGAGCAGTTTCCTTTGTGTTCCCACCATGCAGCCCCTTCTCTGAGCTTTCATGATGTCTCGCTTACTTTTTTTTTTGCCTTTCACTGTCTATTTATACTTTTCTATAGCAGCTGAGAATCTTTGTTGTGGGCTGGCATGCACTGTAAGTGGATCCTGAAAAATCCCTGCTCAGTTTTGTATCTTCTTGGCAAACGTTCCCTTCACGGCCTTTAGAGCAAGTGCAGCAAAGAGATCAAGGCAATTTTCTCTTCTGTGCAGAGCTATATTGCCTGAATGTCATTAATCAGAGCACTGATCTCCAAATGTAGCTCAGGGCTAAAAGCATATTCAACAAATTGTAGAGCAGACTTAGCCACTTACTGACGTTCTACACTGTAAGATAAGATTTCATGCATTTAAAAAGTTTTGCATTACAGTAATGGAGGGGATTCATTGAAAGAGACCCTGCAAACAGGTGCAAACCTGTTTATGTCACACCCATGCTCAAAATACAGGTGCTAAACTGAAACCAGGTGTGAAAGATATAGATAGCTCTCTCATATATATATATATATATATATATATATATATATATATATATATATATATATGCATACATATATATACACACACTCCGATCAGGCATAACATTATGACCACCTCCTTATTTCTACACTCATTGTCCATTTTTATATATATATATATATAGGTGCACTTTGTAGTTCTACAGTTACAGACTGTAGTCCATCTGTTTCTCTGCGTATTTTGTTAGCCCCCTTTTACCCTGTTCTTTAGTGGTCAAGACCCCCATGGACCCTCACAGAGCAGGTACTATTTGGGTGGTGGATCATTCTGTAGTAACACTGACGTGGTGGTGGTGTGTTAGTGTGTGTTGTGCTGGTACGAGTAGATCAGACAGCAGTGCTGCGGAGTTTTTATATACAGACACTGTATGTGTGTGTGTGTGTGTGTGTGTGTGTGTGTGTGTGTGTGTGTGTATATATATATATATATATATATATATATATATATATATATATATATATATATATATATATATATATACACACACACACACACACACACACACACACACACAATATATATATATACATATACATATACACACACGTCTCAAAAGCTGGCTAAAATTCTCCACAGCACACCCTTAATGCTGCAAAAAAAACTAGCATTATTACACCAAAGGCTTTCACACTTTATTTTCTCTATTTCCAGACACATAAAAAAGCTAAGCATTAAATCTATTCTCTACAGATTAAAAAAGAAAAAAAAAAAGCAAAAGCAAAACGAAAACGCTTCTGCTCCACCAGGTGATCCATGGGTATGGTGTTCAGTCGAGATGAAGGAGGGCCCACTTTGGATACATTTCTTGGTTAACCTCAATGGAAAGAGTCTTTTCCTTTGCACACTCTACTTGTGTGCCTGGGGGAAAGTTAGTGCACCACAGAGTTAAGTGGTTCTGCCCGTATGTTGCCAAGGTCCAGAGCGGAGTCTGTTTCCTCATCGATTTCACCAATCACAGCTCTGAAACACAAACACAAGACCCCTCACTCTCAGCATCACTTTCTGACAGACAAGCTAAACATCAAGAAAGATCAAGTGAAATTAAAATAGCCTGTTTTCATTAACTGTGCATTATCATTAGCTTTCAGGCCAGCTTAATGAGCTGCTTTTCATGCACACTTCTAAAAACTGAAATGGGACACTATGCCAAAGTATCCCGACAGCATTTTTAATCAGTGACTTCAGCTTATTTATGGTGCACCCACTGCTGACAACAGGCACCCAAAGGCATGCACACAGCTTGTAAAATCTCCTTAGAAAAGCTTTGACCAACAGAATTGGACTCTCTGGAGCAGCATGAACCCAAAGTCAAATTGCCCAAAACCAAGCATTGACAGCATCGGGCTCTAAGACCTCCAGCACTGGGCTGTGGAGCAGTGGAACTGTGTTCTCTGGAGTGATGGAGTTTCATCCAATACCTCTAGAATAAGTTGGAGAGGCATTTGTGATCTGGAATTTATCATCCAACATCAGTTGCTGACCTCAGTAAGGCCAGAAACATACTAAACCCAAGTGCATGAATGAAAACGACAGTGTCCGGCCAACACATTGTAAACGCGCAGTCTTCCTGTACAAACTCAATGGGCATTCTTACATTACTGTGTGCGTGAAAACAATCAGTACTCAAGGGGGCGACAGAGGACAAATCTGAGCATCTTTGGATCTACTGTCACTCCAACAGCCACAACAGCTAAACATGCTGAAAACAGAGAAATGTGTGCTGCTCTGCTTGTTCCATTGGAATGAAGACGCAGTCCTGTATTAAATGTATGTTTAGACAAGCAAACTAGTTACGCGAGCGACTCGCCCAACTGCTGGTCAGCTCGTGTTGGATCACTACTCAATTTGGAATGCAGCAACATGCAAAATCATGTTTGTGCAGCTTGAAGTGTTGACTTAGGGCTGGGCAATATGACACAATATATATCGTTATTGTGATAAATTATGTCACAATACAACATGCTTTTCTGAACATTTTGTGTGTATCGTCAGTACTTGTAGACACTGACCATCTACATGTTTCATTATAAAGAGAACATAATTAGTGCCGTTTAACTGAGTTTGTGCAGCCCAGTATGCCAAACAGTGATTTAAAAGTCAGTGTATTCAGTTATTTTTGATAGTATTTTTATAATGTAGCACTACTGTTTTTTCTTCTCTGTTCCAACTGATCAGATGTCTGAAAAAATAAATATTGTGACAAACTGTGCATCGCAATAGTATATGTTTGCAGTATCGCCCACTTCTACATTAACAGATCGATTTTATTTAACCATTTCATGTTTGTAAAACAAACTGCATCAGCACAGCACCTTAAAAAGGGATGTGCCATAATATAAAAAACAGTCAGGGAGACACCACAAAAAAGCCAAAGGCTCATTTCCATTGTGGAAATTGGCATTTTCGCATTTGTGTACATGAAATATGTTCCTGGCCTAATGCTCTACTGATTGAATGCCACTAAATCTCACAGCAATGGTACAGTTAGAATAGCTTTAGAGAAATGACACTCATTTCCTTTGAGTCACAGCTGCTCTTTATCACCACCTTCTGGGCGGCTTTATGGAAATCTCCGTTTAGCCATTTCATGCCTGCAGATTTTACGAACTGTGTAAACATACAGCAGAGACCTTTTGTTGTGCATGACTTACACATTATCTCCTCTAACAATGTACAGTCCCAGCACGACCTGCTCCACTCCCTGGGAGGAGCTGAATACACGCTCGTGGCTTTCATCAAGGATGAGGTTGATTGTCTGGTCAAATCCCTTTAACGTTCCCTACAAAGGAAAAAGAGACTAATGAGTCGTTCAGCATCTGACATTATCAAAACACACAGCTGAGCATTTACATGCACTCAGCACCTGAAGTATAAATGCAGATAAAATGAGTGGCTGTTCAAGTGTTCAACATTACAACAGTGGAAGATGCTGTAGGATAGCAGATTTCCAGAGGGGTGAGGGATGCAGGGTGAACTTTAGGATGGATGTTAACATGCGTCGATGCACTGAGCTTCAAAATCAAGTCCCAAAATGAAAGACTAATTGTGTGATAAATGTGATGAAGTTAAGAAAAAGGTGATAAAGTGAAGAAAAAATGTCCAAACAAAATTCTTACTGACCAAGGACAACATGCACTTAGATGCCCATAATGGTTTTAATAAAGGTTAGATTGCTGGCCGTGCCACAGTCACGTTAAAATCGCTGCAGAGACTTTTCAACTCCTTGAGACCACCGGTGGTTCCAAAATGTCAAAATTCCAATGTTCTTCATAACTTTCATATTTCATAAGCTACATTTAAAAAGGTGGGTGTCATATCAGAGCTGTAACTGTCTTCTTTCCAGTCAAACAGATGGGTGATGTAATTTTAAACCCTTATAATAAAAGAAGCTGAACTCACAATTTTTTTTTTCTACTGAAAGTCGACCCATTTTTCCACAAATCTGGGGTATAAACTATAAACAGATGGCGTCTCTTCAGTGATCTGATCTGTAAAAATTATTTTTATGAAATAATACAAAGAGCGTCTAAGATTTTTGGCTTTCAGCAGTAAATTGTAAGTATATAGCAATATGTGTGATCATAAAACACATGTTCTGTTAATTTGAGGGAACTTAATAAATATAAATAAATAAAAAAAACAAAATATACCAAAAAAACAAAATATACCCTGGTCAATAAGAGGTTAATGCAGTTATTTGGGTGCCCTTGCAGAGAGTAATCTTTAGTAAAGACATGTTTGCACTGACTACCTCGTAGGGTAGGATAGCAGATGCTAACATTTGAGTGAGGAAATGAACAATACCCACCACAATCATTCGTCCATCCGATGTAATGATGGCCACAGTCCCTTTAGAGAGGAGTTAAGGATGTTTTAACAACTTTTCATCAATACACACATACATTAATCACACACTTGACAACCAAGGCATTTAAATTCTTTCTTGTCCATAGACTGCTTGTGAGTAAAGAGCACCTGGAAGGAAGCAACCTGGCAATATAACTGGACAAAAGTCTCTATAAAAGACAGCCTTGAAGACAGAAGTTTGGCTTGAGAGCCGTCAGTCTGCCAACTTTTAAGGTGCTAACTAAACTAGCTGGCTATGTAAACACTTAGTCTAGCATCTGGATTATACGCGTACTGTCCAAGTGTAATTTTACAGAAGAATAGATAAAGCTGGCTAAAACTCTAGGTAGTACTCCAGCTTGCTATATAAACTAGATGGTTAGGGGTGGGCAATATGATTAATTAGGATAATAATAAAATATGTCACAATACAATACTTTTCTGAGCATATCAATTTATATCATTATCAAATGATATCATTATGTCTCTTTAATTAAATACAGTGCAAAGCAATTTTTAAAACATTAAATTAAAACTGTTGTAAGTTTATTATTATTATTATTATTATTACTAGTATTATTATTATTATGTGCATCATTACAGTTTCTATTGGTCTGTTCCAAGTTAAGTCTCAGAAAAACAAAATATTGTGATGTACATCGTGTATCGTGAAAATGTGTTGAAGTATTGCGATATAAGATTTTGGCCATATTGCCCACCCATATATATGTCACACCAAAGGTATCTGAGTGCAAATTACTAAATGCTCTAGTAAGTAGGCTGTGGAGCAACTTAGTGGAACTGCGATCCAGAACTAACGATCCAACATCAGTATCTGACCTCACTGATGCTCTTGTGGCTGAACGCAATCAGATCCTCACAGCAATGCTCCAACATATAGTATAAAGCCTTTCCGTAAGAACAGAGGCTGTTCCTGCAGCAAAGGAAGGACAAACCAACTGTTCATAGCTCTGATTTCAAAATAAATGCTGGAGAAGCGGGTGTCCACAAACTTTTGGACATGTAAGTTAGGCACTTACAAAAGAAGGTTCTTCAAGGGTTCTTTAGTAAAGGCAGTAGTTCTATTCAGAACCAGAACCAGAACTATTAACTGGTTCTTTGCATGGTAAAGTTGTTGATGGAGAATGTGCTGTATATGGTTCTCTTTGAAACTGGTTCTACACAGCACCAAAAAGGGTTCTGCTACTGTTACGTTGGCACGCTTTTCACAACAGCCGGACCCTTTTTGGTGCTATAAAGAACCATTTTCATAGTAAGTCCTACACAGAAGTGTATACAACGCGTTCTCCGTCAGTCTGAAGAACCGCTTCACCATGCAAAGAACCATTTAAGCATTAAATGGTCGTATACAGTATTCGTGGTTCTAAACAGACCCCCTCCCTTTACTAAAGAACCTTTGAAAAACCATCATTTGAAAGTTTTTCGTGTCGCGTTTTCAACACAACTAACGTACGTACACTTGACGTAACCGGCTGGCTAGCTAGGTTAGCTATCTCGCTAACTCAAACGTAGAAAACCAGTGGAGTCACAACCAAAACAGTGTTGCTCAAATATTTAACACCCAAACTGCCAAATAAACACCGCAATATCGCGGATATTTCCAAACATATGAGCAGAGAAATGTAGCAAGACAGCCGCAGCTGGGCTAACATTAGCACGCTAGCTAGCAGTGCGCTGGAGAAGTTAGCTTCTTATTCGAATTGTCCCGTTCCACCTTAAATACTGCAAAAGTTCTATTGTGGCGAACGAGGCGCCGGTATGTAACCGCAGCGCCATTTAAGGTGGAACGGGACAATTCGAATAAGAAGCTAACGTTAGCAAACAGGAAGCCGACTTCAGCTTGGTTTAATGTCAGCTGGAGACTCAAACAAGCATTTCTGAGCCCTCTACTTTCACAAAAAGGATGCGGTTGATGTAGCTCTCGAGGGCGGTAGACATCTCCGGCGTCGCTTCTAACTCTCCGCGGCTTGTATCTCTCTCTCACACAGCGCCAACGCTTCAGGAGCGGACGATGAAGAGACCCCACTAATGGATCATCGAGCAGTTGTGGACGATGGAGAGCAGTGCTGCTAGATACCAGCAGGGGGCGCTCTGTACACGCTGCCCATATGTAGCTCTACAAAAGCTGATCTTGGCCCTCCTCTCATGGTCACAGCTCCGGTGAACAGAACTGCACTCCTGGGTATATTTGGGGTTTTACATACCTAAATCGTAAGGCAGATTAATGATATAAGGGTCATTCTACAGTAACGTCCACTGTTCTATCTGTCAATAGGAGTCACTGGTGTTACTATTCGTCATTGGTGTTACACATAAGAAAGGTAACACCAGAGACATTTTTAATGAAAAATGCATTTTACAAATTAGGTGCTACAGAGCATCAAACCACATGTTGTCAATCACTGAATATCAAATTGAATCCATTTGTATTCTATTTTTTCATAGTTACCTTAGAATAAAGCTAAATAGATAGGTTAGATAGATAAATAAATAGGTAGAACTTTATTGATCCCTAAGAGAAATTGCAGTGTTTCAGTAGCAAGACATATAATTGCACATAAATTTACATATACTATGCAGAACAATAAAAAAAAAATAGAAATAAATCTAGACATAAGTTGAATTACAAGAATAAAGTAGGTCACACCAGTGACTTCAACTAAAAGCTTCATGTGAAATCATGAGCTAAATGGGAAAATGTCTGATAACTGAAAGACACAGTGGACGTACCATGTGCTTTTCTTCATAGATCCTCAGAAAACAGGTAAAAGGAAGTCGAGTGATGTCATCGGTGTGATTTTTATTTCAAAATAAGAGATTTTTTGTTGTGCTTTGACACCAGTGACACGACTCCTGGGGACAACTTTCATTATATATTTTATAATATTTATTTGGCCTTTGTTTTCTTTATGTCATTTAATTCATATATTATATAGTCATGTATAGATTATTGCTGTTAAAATTGCAGAAAAACATATTTTTTGCTTCAATTATGGCCTCACCCTTTATGCATGTGGGGACAAGCACTTCTGTGGTGCTTGGAATTCTATATGATCGATTTAAAATTCAATATTGCTAAATTGAGGCTCAAGAAGGTGTAATTTCTAAAATAACATATTGGTTTATTTTAAAATATAAATAAATAATAAGCCTAACATGTTTTTCAAGTGTAATATATCTGTAAACGCGAGGGACTCAAAAATGGACGTTTGTGTAGAATGACCCATATATACTTGAAATAAATGTAAAGTGTTGATGGTTTTTGGAAAGACTGCCTTCAAATGAACAGAAATTATCATAAACATAATGCCACAGGCTTGCAATTTACTGCTGAAAGCCAGAAATATTTTCTGTACTTTTTCTAGAAATATTTTTACACTGCAAATCATTTAAAGAGGCACCATCTGAGATCCAATCTGTAGCCCCAGATTTGCGGACAAATGGGCCATCTTTCAGTAGAAAAACACTCAGTTTAAGAGAAGTGTTTTTAACTCTGTTAAACTCCTGCTGAAAAGACACACTGTTTAATTATGAATGTTGCTGTTGCCCTTACAAAAAGACCTACAGTGAGCTTTACATAACGCTGTATACCTCTGTAATAATCTATATGTTCGCCTCTGTGAAGACATTTATGTTTGCAACACTTGATCATAAAATTGAAAGAGGAAAAATATGGATGGAGACAACCAGAGGAATCATGAATAAGCATTTAAAGGGCAATTCCACCAAATTTTCAAAATGCCTGCATAATTCAAAGCTTAGGAACACTCATTCATAGTAGTTTGGGTTGAAATGGTTCATTATAGACAATCTTACAGATTCTGATTTCTCTACAGCGGTGGTGATAGGAACCAGGGGTCGCCATGACTACAACACAAATATAGCTATTTTATTTACAGTCTGAAACCACCATGTAATGTTGATTAATAAGTTTTCTCTGGGGGCTATTTTGCCCTGCATTTACCTCTTAAATAAACATGTTTTAGACTAGAAGCTGATCTCAAGTGATCATAAAACAATGTCTGAGGCATCAGGCTGTGTATTCATAACCATCTCATGTAATTACTTTCTGTGAAGGAGCTTTTAGAGGCTTCAGACGTCTGGTTCCTGTCACCACCACTGTGAACAATTCTGACTCAGTAAAGTTCTCTAGAACAGACTATTTCACACCAAACCACTCTGAATGACTCTGTTTACATCTTGACCATTTAATTATGCAGACATTTTGAAAAATAAGTGGAATTTCCACTTTAAGAAGAATAACAGAAGAGAGGATATTGTGGAGAAATACATAGGGTTGTCAGGAGACTTGATGGCACTTAACCCTTGTGTGGTGTTCAGGTCTGTGGGATTCATTTTCAATGTTTACCAAAAGAAAAAATGATGCGATTTATTATTATTTCAACCTCAGATTCCTTGGTCTTTGCTCATTTTCTGTGAAGAACATATAAAATAACCCCTTTTCAGTGTCTTCACTCTGTTCACCCCCCACACATTTATATTACACATGTGGTGTTGGGTGAACCCACAGGGAATAAAAGTGTGGAGGTGCTGTGTCCTTCACTCTGTTCTCCTACATGGCCTGCTGTTAGTGTGTGTGTGTTTGTACATGTATGTGTGTGTGTGTGTGTGTGTGTGTGTGTGTGTGTGTGTGTTTGTGTGTGTGCGTGAGGGTGGACAACATGGACAGGCTGCTGACTGGCTACAGCTGCTAAAGGAGAACCCTACACTGGACACTTATGATATTTTAAGCATCTGGTATTTGTACATAAATTGTTATGGCTGTTTTGATTAAAAAAAAAACAATTATGCAGTGGATTACCAGACCACTGAGAAACAAAAACATCAACACCGCACAAGGGTTAATAATAATAATAATAATAATAATAACAATAATAATAATAACAATAATAATAATAATAATAATAATAATAATAATAATAATAATAAATATACTATTGTGAACTATACTATAGTAATGGTCTGAATATAAGAATCTTAGAGGAATCTTTATGAATGTTTTTTCTTAAGAGTGATGAGTTCAGCCAAGATGAACAACCTTTCAAGTCAAGTGATTCAAGTCCACACTCACACGCTCGCACACACTGAGTGATGAGAAAAGGTTAATGATTGGTGTTGTTAAGAGGAAGTGAACTTCAGTCTGAAGTTAGACTTGAATGCTTCTGGTAAACTGATCCAGACTGACCAGTGAAGACTTGATAAGGAGAATGAAGAGAATGACAGTTAGGAATACATAAACTTTTGCCTCAGGAAAATTTTGTTTTACATGAAAAGGAGCCACCGCCAACCAACTCAGGTAAAATAAAATAAAATAAATGATAAAACCTTTTATTTGTAGTTTAATCCTTTGAGTAGACATTGTTCACATTCACTGCTTTGGTTTAGTCTTAGTTACCAGCCATTGTCCTCTCTCGGTCTCCAACAACATGAAGGCAGAGGACAAACTTCAGATCCTGAAATTCCTGTTAATTCTGGTCAACTCCTTGTTTGTGGTGAGATAAAATGAGTAATCAGTTTAAATCTGCATCTTTTACTAAAATTATACTAATAATGAGGCCCTTAAGGCTGAAATAGTTTTGCTCACATGCTTCTTTCTAGTTACGCACAGATAAGCAAACTAAAAAAGCCAGTGGAGGAATTTAAAGTGAGATCTGTTTAATGTTAGAAACGTTTACACGGATTGTGTTTCACAATGTCGGGCTGATTTACCTTTTACTAGTTTTATGTTTTATGGTTCTGCCATCTAGACATCTATTTAAAAACATATTGCACACATTTTTCCTACTTACTGGACACATAACATACATTAATGTTCTTCACAGATCATCAGTATCAGCCTTTTTGGATGTTCTACGTGGATCTTATTTGACAAAAGCAGCTTTATAACTGTTTTAAACGATGGTAAGCTTGTTTTTTCTACTTTGTGATAAAGGAATCTGGTAGCACTGAAGGTATTTCCACTGATTTTTCAAATTTTCTGGATAATTATGCGGTTAAGCTCAAAATAAAGTCTTTTAGAGTGCTTTGGTGTGAAATGCTCCACTCTAGAGAAACTTGGTGAGTCAGAATTGTTCACAGTGGTGGTGATTGGAACCAGATGTCTGAGGAGTTTATTGCCTATAAAAGCTAATCACAAAGTTTTTACACAATAAATGGTTATAAATATGATGCCTTATATCTGAGACATTGTTTTATGGTACTTTTGAGACAAGATTTTGGCCTAAAATATATATATATCATATACATGTATATATATATATATATATATATATATATATATATATATATATATATACATAGATATATATAGATATATATAGATATATATGAAGTCCATTCATGGTGGACATGCAGGGCAAAATAGTCCTCAAACAAAACTTATTTATTCATATCTACCACTATTTTATCTTTATCAGTATTACATATAAAACTCAGAAGTCCAGTAGGTTCATAGGTCATTTTGGATAGTAAGTATAGTTAATTGTAGACATTGTGACCTCTGAGGCTGAATTCACGAAAACTTTCTTAAGAAAAAGCCTTCAGAGATTCTTAAGACCAACACTAAGGAGCTCATATGAATGTTCTTAAATGCAATTCTTGAGTTCTCAAATAATCTCTTAAGATAATCTTAATTATTTTGTTTAGAAAGTCTTCATTGCTTTCTTATGTAGGCTACATTGCATTTTATCCCGTACCATAAATGATGGAACATACATTTTGAATTTGTTACTGTTACTCATGTTATTCAGTTTCATCTGCTCAGAGGAGCAAAATGGAGGAAAAACATCAAACCCAGTGTTTAAACAATTTTAGCAAACAAGAACCAGAGGTGATGGTGGAGGAAACAGCCGACAGGAAAAATCCTCATTGGAAAACACAATAATCGTGGGGTGACAACAGAAAGCAAGAGAGATTTAGATGCTCACCTTGTCAACGAGTGTGAGGCTATTGTGAGGTTAAGGAAACCTTTAAGTACATAACAACATTTTTGCATAAGTTTTTTCTTAAGAATGGAAACTTTAAGAAAATGTAAGAAAATTTCCTTTCTTAAGACGCTTTCATGAATCCGGCCCACCGCTGTAAGGTAATCAGAGTCGGGCAGTTTCTCTACAATGAATCATTTCACATCAAACCACTCTGAATGACTGTTTACATCTCAACCACTGAATTATGCAGAAATTCTTAAAAATCGGTGGAATTGTCCTTTAAGTGTTGCTTTTCTCTTCCAATGCACAACATTAAATGAGTGAATAAAGAGCCTGAATTAGTGTAAGTTGAGCTGGGAAAGTGTCTTTGTGTCCCTCTGAAGTTGTGAGGGTCTGAACAGGTCAGCTGAATGCTGACTGTATGATGCTGGTGTTTTTGTGTGGTTCTCACAGAAGAAGAGATCAAGGTGGTTGCTGGAGGGCTCTTTGTTATCGGCCTGGTGGTGCTGGGCGTCTCCATGTTGGGCTGCTTTGGTGTTTACTTAGAAAACAGATGTTTAATGGCTTTGGTAAGTTCTGATACGCAAAAACTCACGATAATAGAACAAACTTTATAAATCAGACATAATTAAGATCACGTTATGTACACGTTATAAGGCACACATACAGACAGTGTCTTGAGTAGAACCGGGTAAGAAAATACAGTATCTTTATGGTATCAGCTGAATTAACTCTACTACTGCCAAGTATCAAAAAGCAGCGTCATTCAATACAAATTTCAATAACAATCCTACACTCTTAAAAATGATGGTTCTTCCAGGGTTCTGTAGTAAAGAAAATGGTTCTATATAGAACCATGAACACTCAAAGAACACTTTGCATGATTAAACGGTTCTTTGCATCATTAGGGTTCTTCAGATTGACAGAGAATGCGCTGTGGATGGTCCTATATAGAAACATTTTGAAAAAGGTTCTATACAGCACCTTAAAGGTACTTCTGTTGTCACAATGTCGCTTGTAACAATAGAAGAACCCTTGTTGGTGCTATATAGAACCCTTCTCAAAAAGGCTTCATATAGAACTATAAAAAACACAATCCGAAGAATGCAAAGAACACTTTAGTCATGCAAAGGGTTCTTTGAGTGTGCTATATAGAACCATTTTCTTTACTAAAGAACCCTTGAAAAACGTTTTTAAGTGTGTAGAAGTAGTTAGTCTTAGTATCCATGAGCCAATAGACACACTTGTTCTATAATTCTGATTGGCTGTCTAAATGTGTAAGCCCATGTGTAACCATGTGTAAGCATGCTATTAATGTCTACAGTTACAGTAAATACATCCACTTCCAGCATATTTCTGCTGTAAGCCACGCTCACTTTCATTTTATTATTTAAGAGAAGGTATTAAAGGTGTTCCTTTTTATGATTTTATGATTTTTAGAATGCATCAGTGGCCCACATAATCCACTGAAATGATATTTTCTAAGCTGTACTGACTCCACACACCCCGTCTCGTCTCCAGGACTTTTATTTTATTGTTCTGTTTAAAACATTAGGTTATGAAAAGGTACAAATACGAACTTTTCACCTGGAAAAACTTATTTAAGGTTCACAATCGGACCTTAAAACCACTGTTGTACCTTTGAGGGAACATTTATATTGTTTGAATGAAAAATGTACCCGCAAAGAACCTTTATTTCTAACAGTGTATGAGTCATGGATGTAAAATTGTGTAGTGATATAAGTGGTCCAATAGGATTTTAGGGGCCTGGTCACCAAGGCCCACTTGTGCTATAGGCACTGAGATTGCCACGCCTACCCTGCCTGCAGACATGCAACTGGTTTTCAGTATTTCTACTACTGCTGTCTAAATTAATAAGGAATGTGTTGGAAGTATTCTTCTATTTACAGATTTTTCCAGCTCTAATGCCAAACCTCGCTGTCCTACCTTCAAGATAATGTTTTTTTCCTCTGTTGAGGCTCAGCTTATCTTCTCTTCTGCTCTTTTCCAGTACATGGGCTTCTTAATTGCCATTATTTTGGGTCAACTTTTCATCACCGTCCTTCTGTTGTTAAAAATGAATCGGGTAAGTTTTTTAACCAGCTTCACTTTTGATACACTGCTGTAGACTTTTAATGAATATTTAACTACCACTGAATGGCAGGGGTGAACATGAAAGTGGAGTATTAAGCCATGAATGCCGTCAGCCAGATTTGGTGCAGTCGTGTCACCGCATTCCCTTACTGATGCTCCTCACCCACCATACAACACGTTCCCATTTCTTCATGTTTAAACCAGTCTGAACCAAAAGAGCCAAAAGCTAAAAGCGTTTTCATTTTAACAGATTGAAGTGGTTTTGAATGAGACTATAGATGGCTGGATCACTGAGTATGGCGGAAACAGTACACAAACAATATGGAGGCTTCTGGACAGTGTGCAGCAGTCTGTATGTATGACATAACAGTGTCACTGACCATCAGAACGATAATGGAGGCACAAGATATACTGCGGATGATACGCAGCATTGATTATAGTATAATAATTAACCACAATTGTTAATAAACTGATCCAAATAATAAATACATTTAGTGGTAATTAAAAGTGCTGCTGGGTTTATCATCTGCATGAACTGGTTTGTTATGAGTGTGTTTTTCTGCAGGTGAAATGCTGTGGCAGACAGAACTACAGCGACTGGCAGACAAACATACTTATTCAGACTTATTCAGACCTGAGCACAGAACAGATTTACCCCTGCTCCTGCTTCAACGGTAGCTGCCCCGTTTTCCCGACCAATGAGATGTACCTGTTTGGAAACAGTTCAGAATCTACCGACATCTACGTAACGGTATTAAAACATAGCATAATGATATTATAACACTATTTTGCAGCTTTAACCTCTTAAACTGTAAGGGTATCTATGTGTCTTCTGTTCCCCACTCTCACAACTACAGAACTGACACATCAGGTTTCATAACGGTCACTGTGTAATTCATAGTGATTACTAAAAAATTCATAATAGATACTAAAAAATACAGAATAATTCAGTTACTGAATAATTCATACTGGTTACAGAGTAATTCAAAGTTACTAATAAATTCATAGTTGTTACTGAATAATTTATAGTAGTTACTGAATAATTCATAGTGGTTATAGAATAATTCATAGTGGTTACTGACTAATTCATAGTGGTTATAGAATAATGCATAGTAGTTACTAAAAATTCATAGTAGTTACTGTATAATTGAAAATAAATACTAAATAAATTATAATATGTACTGAATACTGCATTTCCTGAATAATTCATAGTAGATAATGGATTATACATAGTGATAGTGATAATTCATAGTTGATATTTCATTGTAGTTACTGCATAATTCATAGTAGGTAATGAATAATTCATAGTGGTTATAGAATAATTCATAGTGGTTACTGACTAATTCATAGTGGTTATAGAATAATCCATAGAGGTTATAGAATAATCCATAGTGGTTATAGAATAATTCATAGTGGTTACCGACTAATTCATAGTAGTTGCCAAATAATTCATAGTGGTTACTGAATAATTCATAGTGGTTATAGAATAATTCATACTGGTTAGTAACTTATTCATAGTAGTTGCCAAACAATTTGTAGTGGCTGCAGAATAATCCATAGTAGTTACTGAATAGTACACTTTACAATTATTAACTCAGTTTAAGAGGTTATTATGTGCTCACCTGTCTACAGTACAAGTAATACATTTTGAGATTCTAAATTGAAATGTATGGTGTGTAAACTGACATCATATGTGGTCTCTGGAAACTCTGAACTATGTGATCTAATGTGGCTGTGCTATTGTTTCTTGGTGTAGGGCTGTGGACAGAAAATAGAACACTGGTTCCGGATTAATATCCTTGTGATAGTGGGCATGGAACTTGGGCTCTTGGTCATTCAGGTATCTACACAACCCAGAAAGAGAACTTTTAATACAAGAGGAGTGAAAATGCATCTGAACTGTTCAACTGCATAGATTTGGGACTGTTAGATCAATTATAATCAATTACAATCTATGACGTTGCTTGTCTTGTCCATATATTTCACTGTGTAAATCATTCCTCTAGTCACATTTGTGCATTTTAAAACATAATTCTGAATCACAGCAAAATATTTATATTTTATCACTGTGATATTTGAGATTCCATAATGTACAGCTTTATGCCAAAGTTTGAAAACCCCTGGTCAAATGAAATCAAAATGTTTTGTTGACTTTCTCTACAAGGAACAACCTTAAATATGGCATTTATCTGCAAATTGTAGTGACAATTTCTATTTATCTGAAAAAAAAAATGGCATGAAATCTAAAACGTCCCAGGACACATTTTATGTTTTACTTTCCCCCAGAGTGTTAAATCCAGCAAATAAACAGTAAACAAACAGTTTTTTAAAAAATCTACAAAACATATAACTTGAACAAACTTTTGCACAAGACTGTCTTGAACTAGAGTCTGGAAATTGAATCTGATGAGGGAGGTCAGAGATTTACACCCCTACCAAGCAAAATCACTTAAAGCATGAACTCACAGCTGATAAGAATATGTAAAAGTCCTTTGAGAAACTTTATCTGTACACCACAGACCTCTTGCTTTTGCTTCCTTGTGCAGATTCTGCAGTTTGCCTTGGGATTTCACATCTACCGGAACATTGAAATAAAGATTAAAGATCAACACTCCAAGAAGCTCCTCAATGCAGCGGAGGAGAACGCTGCACCAGAACCTGACCTTCATCAGAGTGATCAGGAGTACCGACAGCCTGATAGTCACACTTATGACCAGCAGCATCAGAATGCTTACAATCAGGAATACGCTGGACAGAGTTATCCATATGATCAAGATACCCAGCACTATCATGACCGCCAGGCCAGTGGTCACCCCTATGACCAGCAACATAATGTGTATGCTCGAGTTGATTCTGGACAAGCTTATGATCAGCATCAGTACCAACATTACCAACACCACTTTGACCCAGAACCCACCAGTCACATCTATGACCACAGACAGGACAATGCTTACGACCAAGAATACGCTGGTGAGAGTTCTGACCGGTATGGAGATCAGTATTACCAAAGCAGCAATGATCAGCACTCCCCACATGCCTATAGCGGCAATTATAACCAAGGTTACGTTCAGGATTATGACTCCAGGGATAACTATGACTGTTACTAGTCATAAACCCCAAGGCTTATTTTATAGGTTCTGATCAAGTTGTTCATTTGAGAAATGCCAAATTGATTACTTTATTGTTTTATGACATTTTGCGCTCAGTCACCATAAACCATCAGCTCATGACGTTTTATTTAACTTGGAGATGTCCAGGATCGAGACTTTCATTTCAGTTAAGTCTGGTCTCTCCTACGTATCTTCTAAAGGAGATCCTTCAGAAGCACACATGTAGAACCGCCTGAAACAGGTTCATTCATTAAGGTAATGAATACAAAAATAACAGGAGAAATCTTCTTTAACTCGTTACTTTATTTACTCTATATAATAACAAGTCATTAGTTTGCAAATACTGTAATAGCTTGACATAGAAAGTACATGAATCTGGTAATTAATGGGGTGAAAAAACATTTCAGGTAGCACTTTGGGTCCAGCTCGGTCCAGCAAGGGGAACTGCGCTGATTTTTTTACATTTCTGCATTATTAAATAGTTAAGATGTAAACAAAGTCATTCAGAGTGGACTGATGTGAAATACTCTGTTGTAGACTAACTTACAGAGTCAGAATTGTTCACACTGGTGGTGAACTAGACACCGTTCTTTACAAGCACCCTCACAGCAAGTTATTACATTAAAATAGTTATTAATATTTTGCCTGATATCTGAGACATTGTTTTACAGAGGTTTTGTGAAGGTTTTTCAGCATTACATACATATTTACTACAATGAACCATTTAAACCACTCTGAAAGACTTTATTTACATCTCAGTGACTGATTCATGTAGAAATTTTGGTGGAATTGCCCTTTTAAAGGAAAGCAGGTAGCTTGCTAAGTAATGAATAAAGCTTTAAAGAATAACCTTCTATGGATGCACAGCTATGGATATTATAATGTATTTTACAGTAAAACACATGATCGGTAAGATAAATACTGTAGAAAGTCAAGTTTCACAGAAAATAAATACTGTCCATCATGAAAGTTAAAGTTGAGAAGTATATACAGTGGATAATGGTTGATACAAAAAAGTAAAATGTGCCACACAACTGTCAAGTTTACACCTTCTCCACTTCCACTGGGAGTGAATAAATAAACGGAATTTCAGCCACCGAATATTTGGGTCCAAACATGGTCATTTTCTCCTGCGCTGGTCAGGACAGATGCGTTCAAACAGTCTGAGCTGCAGCAGATCAACAGTGAAATACAAACATGGTCCACTGCAGCTGTGTTCAGTACAGTCTTTAACTTACATGCTATTTGTTTATTCTTTAAATCACACAAATAATACTGAGTAAAGGCAGGTTTACACTGTATGATTCTCCATATTGCTGTTGCAGACAAAAATCACAAACCGTGAAAGGATTCCATGATCGTGAGCTAAAATCTATGGTCACTGATTGTTTAAGGGTGGACGACCAAACAGTGCCTGCGATACAGTTCTGGCAGTGTCAGAAATGTGGTCTAAAATCTCAGTGTGACTGCTGCTACAACACACATCAAAAAAAAAAACAAAACATGGAGCTGCATGAAATGACATGGATGTGTGAGCGAGAAGACGACCAGGGTTTGATCCCCCACCTGGGTAAGCACCCTGCACTATACCAATAAGAGTCCTTGGGCAAGACTCCTAACACTATCTTCGCCTACCTGTGTAACATGAACACACTGTAAGTCACTCTGGATAAGAGCATCTGCCAAATGCTGTAAATGTAAGATGATAAATTAAGGTACAACCTTAATTACTCACAAGTTATATGATAGCCTGGCCCAGTGTTCAGTTCACACATAGAGCAACCTGCCTTTAAATGGTAGAGCTAAGTCCATAACTACCATGTAATAAACAGAAAAACAAGCCTATTTCTTTTAAGATCACTTTGGAGAAACGACACTCCATGTTGTCCTCTTATCTCCAGCCATAAACTGCTAAAATGTGTTCCTTTTCACTCTTTAACGCATGTTTTTTCAGTCAAAACCTAATGCAGAGGGCTTTTCTTGGTTGCACTGCTTTATTTTTTTTTTTAAAAGTGGAGAATTTTCTTGCATTGCAGCTCTGTCTCCAGAAAATCTTAATCATATAATCTGACCTGCAGCACAGTCCGCCATGGAATTTGGCTGAGATTTTGCTTGTGCAGTAAATTCAACCTGAGATACCTTTGGGAAACGATGGAGTATTATAATTTCATAATTTTACACCTTTTAATGTTTAATACAATTTATCCTGTTTAGGCCTCTAGTTTTGTCGGTTCTTGTTCCCAAAAGGCGATGTGCTTTACCACCTATTAAGCATCGTCAGTATTATGTTCATTCAAAAGCATAAATAAAATGGCAAATTATCAGTTTTCTTCTGAGCTTGTCCTGAATTTTGGTTTCGGTCAAGAATTTTAATTTCGGTGCATCACTAAAATCAATTATGCTCTAAAGCATATGTCCATTTGCCCTTCATCTATTTAGTTCTGGCTCTCTTGGACCTTACACATGAGCTTTGATGCTGCAGTCATGTCAGATGGATATCTTTATGAATCACTGAGTTATTTCTCTACTCAGCACTACAGTCTGACTCAGGAGATACTTGGATGATGTTAGCATCATACGGTTTTGCTTGTTAGTGTCTGGAGAGAGAGGGTGCGAGCTCTGTATGTGAGTCTTCCTGCTGTGTAGCCTCGCTGTTCAGAGCTGAGTTGGTGTGTGGAGAGTGGGCTTAGCCTAAAGTATGACTAATGACACTCTCTCCACCATAAAAAGCGGCAAGTCTGTGTGGATAAGAAGACTCTTTGTTAAAGTCTTGCTGCGGTTGATGATAGCCAGTCTGCCATTACTGACCTCATATATCGTGAGCAGGAGGTCATGCTTTACGACAATAGTGGACAGCGCTCGCATTGATCGCTTGAGAGAGAATGCTGATGAGTTATTGGGGAAAAAAACATCTTTAGACTTACTCCACCTAAACCTGAATGACTCTTAGGCAGAAAATGCAGCTGTCTAATACCAGGACTCGGTGAGCAATTGCTCAGCACAGCTTTGGCATGTGTGCATGTGTGCTGGGGGTCTTTACAAACATAAAAGAAAAGCTCTGTTGGAGGTGCTTTTGATGGTGATGGAGAAAACATCACCATTATATGACAGCCTACAGTTTTCCAGGCACAGAATAAGCCTAGTCATGGACTATGAAGCATTTTCAATACAGAATCACTGACTAATTTTAACCAGTACTGTGTTCTTAAAGAGGAATTCCACTGATTGAACTTTTCAAAGCTTCAGCAGTTGAGATGTAGACAAGGTCATTCAGAGTGGTTTGGTTTGAAGTGGTTCATCACTTACTGAGTTAGACTTCTTTACAGTGGTGGTGATGGGAACCAGGGGTCTCAATGTCTACAACACATTTTATTTACTATACAAAACCACCAGTGGACCTACATGCGTCTGAGTTTTTATATATGTAACATAATTAAATCGCTGCTGTCAGAAGAAAACCTCATATCTCCATTTTTGGCGTTTTTCAGTTTTTTACGTAATTTGAACATGCCTGTGGCCCTTTATATTTTGTATAAATTTCATGATGTCTGGATCGAAAGAAATTGCCAAAAATGACTTGGAAAAAGGCTGGTTCCATAGACTTACATTAAAAGAAAAGAAGGTTTTTTCCTTCTCCTGTAAGGTTACCATTTTGGAGATATGAGTATTTCTTCTGACAACAGCAAAATATAAATATAAATATTAAAATAGAAGAAACTCTGAAAAAAGTCTTACTGGGCACTATATTGCCTTAGAATGCCCTGCATGTAACTCAAGCCAAAAGCTTATATCCAAACTATCGGAAAACGATGATAGCATATTCATAGCCATTTTACATAATAACTTTTTTGTGAGGGAGCTTTTAGAGGCATTAAACTCTTTAAACGTCTGGTTCCTATCACCACCAGTGTGAACAATTCTGATTCAGTTAGTTACTCTAAAATAGGGCATTTCACACCAAACCACTGTGAATGAATCTGTTTACATCTTAACCATTTAACTAAGCAGAATTTCTAAAAATTTCATGTAATTCCCCTTTAATGTCCTCTACTATTCACGTCAGCCCCTGCATACTGTTGAGAGTAAAGCCATCATCAGAGGCAGAGTACAGATGCACAAAGTGAGAATCAAATTATGGGATATGACTCATGTTGGTATGACATCTTTACCATGTGACCTCAATTCTCATGCTCTCTGACTCTCCGCTTATTGTCATGAAAACAAGCAGCTCTTTCTCCTCCCGCCACAGATGTCTGTGGGATTGTTTCTGGACAGTTAAGTGTGTTTGTTAGCTACAGAGTTAATCAGATGTAGGCTGGGGCAGTGGCTACCAGGCCGCTTCACTGACACTCAACCAATGACAGAGAGTTCTAACCTCAATTTCCCCTTTGCCTAATTGTGAGTTACACACAATGTATATGCGGGTGTTTTGAGTAATAGTGTTTTTCAGGTTTATGGACAAATGTTGAGCCTGTAAATGAATGACGGGGAAGCTGGGCCGTTCACTGATGATCTCAGATGTCCCCACAAAACACTAGCAGTGCACTAAAGACTAAGAACACATCAGGTATTTAAAACTGACAATTTCTTTAAAAACACTAACCCCCTTCGACTTATTATTCAGATATTAGTCTTAAAGGGCCCATGAGTGCTTTCTAAATGTGGCACAATACAGAGTAACCAATCAGAACAGAGCTCATTTACATACATCAGTCTTGAAGACACAATAACAAAACCAGCCTGTTTAATTCTAAGGAATAGAGATGTTTCAAAGTCGTCATGTAATAATGAATTATGTCTATTTTTACCCACACAAATGTTATAAGTTGACCTCATGGGAAAATATAATGTAGGATATACTAAAAAATGTAGGACATGGACCCTTTAAAGCTCATTATCCAATAACTATTATGAATAATTTGGTAAGTACTATGAAACTAATATTTATGTCTTGTAGTTATGAGTCAGGAACTTCAGTGTGGATCTAAACTTCACATATGGCTTTACACAGTGAAACTTTCATGCAACTAGTTGCATGTTGTGAGTTGCATGCAATATAATTTCTGTGCAACCTAACAATTACAAAAAGCAATTAAAAAACAACCAAAGTTTAACACAACTCATTTAATCACTCCACTAGGTAGGTGAATCAGTGAAATTTGTGATACGCCGTGTCACGTTTGTTGTCATGGCTCAGGAAACTGGGGAAATGAAAAGATTTCATGCTTGATAAACGCTTGATAAATCTTCTGTTTTATTTCCTTGTCCACTGATCTGGTAAAATCAATAATTTAAAATTATGTAGTTTAATATGATCATGTGATTTCTGTGTTTCCTGTGTTTTGATTGGCTGCTCCATGAAACTTGCTTCACCAATTTGAGACGATTGCAGCTGTTGCGGCTGAGTTTCAAATGAATTGCGGGACAATTTACATTATGCAACTCAAATTTAGTTTCATAAAGGTTTCAAGCAACTCAAGTTGCATGAAAGTTTCATTGTGTAAAGCCAGCCTAAAAGGCTAACCTTCACTCTAACGCACTACATCCTCCACACAGGGTAACGCTACCTTTACTATATTGAGTGTAATACATTTTACCACATCTCTACCTCACAAAAACATCCAAAACCCACTGTAAAGGACAACATAACCATCGACATACTCCATCACTCAAACCAACGACAGTCCATCAGCCCTGTCGCTCCAGAAATCATATATAAAACTCAATGAATGAGCTGAAATCCCCCAGCAGATCTTCGAGCTGCTGTCCAGTGGGCCCGACCGCACATACCTCAGGACAAGCATGTTCTCTGTTCTGCAGCAGTGTTTTGCTGCAACACGGAGTGAGCCCCGAGCCACCATGCCCAAGAGGGACGGCACTGCACACAAAAAAGCCATTTATCCTGTGAGCCGTGGCCTGCAGCTCCAGCGGCTGGCCTCAAAGGGACAGACCTGCCGCGGGCATCGCAGCGGATGTGCCTCTTCCACCAGCAGCGTCTTCAAAAAGACCCGCGCTTCCTGTCCTGAAGAAGCCGCTGGATCACCAAAGCGTTCCACCAGGCTGAACCAGTCTGTTTTCAAAGATGCCATCCTGTGTGTGCATACTTCAGAAACACAGAATCATTTATCACTCACTGGATGGTCACACAGTCCAGTGCTGGGGGCTCCAGATGTTAGGATTTCTTGCAAGCGAGGTTATGCACTGTGTAACTTGCGTTACTGCTTTAGCTCAAATGGTAAATAAGTATGTGTAATTGTTTCAGCCAAGAAAGTTCTCACTTGATAAGAGCACTTGGTCCTGTGCATCTGCCCATGTTGCTGTCTTGGCTCTGACAAAAACACAGAGCCATGTACTATTGAGTCCCTTCTTTATGCACTTTATACATCCAGCCAGAGGCTGCCAACAAATGCTTCAGCTCTGTTCCTCTCTTGCAGGTGTGCTGGATTAAACTGCCGTGTCTTCCGACCCCAAAGTATCCTGCTGCACCCTGAGGGGAAGCAACCGGAATCAAAAGGAGGCATCTGTCAGGTCTTGCTTACAACACATAAAACAAACACTTAGTTTGTTGTTACTGAAAGCATTTGCTTCTGTGGTGATTTGTCGAAAAGAGACCATACCTGCATTGTTTGTTTAGGGAAGAAGATTCAGGGTCATTGTGTGCAGCACTACTACCGTCCTCAGGGTCACTTTGCGTCTCTGGGCTGTCAGCTCCAGGAAACGTGCACGTGTCTGTTTCACGTCTCCTCCTCGCACAGCACACTTTTCGACAAAGCACCTACAAGAATGAGAAAACTGGTGTTAAAGTTCGAGGAGCAAATACGGAGTATGTTAAACTCCAACTTCCACCAAACAATATACCAAAATGCTGCATAGCGCAGAGAGGGAGGCTTAACTGTTCTGAGGAAGAGTGCCAACGTGGCACCACAGGGGATGATGAGCAAAGCCAAAAGACCGGGAATCGCTCTGTCAATCACATGCTTCTGGCTATCCTGTCCTGTCAAGACACAACAGCATACCACCCCTTTAGTCAGTGTGAAGTCATGTATGGGCATGAGGTACAACACGCAAATTACAGTGATGGTTTTTGTGCTGTGTCATTGTCACTCAAGCCACAATTTATAACTGGGTGTGTTTGCTATGAAGTTGGCTTGGTGTACTCTGCAAATGATTTCAGAAAAGTGTGTGAATGTGTACATACAGGACTCACCTGTTGTGATGGGCGGGACCGTAGGACATGGGGGAGGGGTACAGTGAAACTGGAGAGGTGCCGAGGCAAACGCCACAAGAACCTCTTTAACATGGCCAAAGTAGCGTCTGGTGGACCATCTCACACTCCGGTAATGGCACTTGAAGGCCTGCATTGTTGCCTCCTGGGAAGGACATAAAGAAGCTTATTCTAGAGCTTTGTCTTTTGAAGTTGAGCATATCACTGCTGTCGGAACAAAACCTCCAAAATCATAACTTTACAGGAGAAGAAAAACACATACTTTACTTTTATTGTAAGTCAATAGACCCAGACTTTTTTCCGATTAATTTTGGGCTGTTTCTTTTAGTCCATTCATCATGGACTTCACCCATAATGTAAAGGACAACAGGTATTTTCAAATTATGTCAAAAACTGAAAAACAATACAAATGGAGATATGAGGTTTTGTTCCGACAGCAGCAATATATATATATATATATATATATATATATATATATATACATATATATATATATATATATATACACACCATCTGATCATAAGATGCGCAGGAATTTAATGGCTCAAGAAAGTATTTAGACACTTTACAGTAGCCATAAAACACGATTTCTGCCTGTTTTGGAGGTCCCTCTTCAATAACGTGGGTGAAACATATCTCAGTGGCAATATATATGATTTACAAACCCAAAACAGTTTTTTCGACTACATAAGTAAGCAAGAAAGTCAACATTTATAAAAGTGTTTTTATTGATATTAAGAAAGCTGCATTTGCACGCCTATATCATATCTGCATGGCCGTCTTCATGGAGGTGTATATCATTTTCATTCCTCCCCTTTTACTCCTTATTGCTCACTAGCAGCTCAACACAGAGTCACAACATTTCACACACTGACAGCCAACAGTGTCCTAGTTAATCTGAGTTACAAGCAATAAATATCTTACTTCATTATATTAATTTTAATAATCTGAGTTGATTTCCATTCCACCTGTGGAATGGCTACTAGGGGGCCATCATAAAGAGGATAAAAAGAGCATTTTAATATACTTTAATTTAAGTCTTTAGGTTTTTAAATAAAATGTTTTACAAAATAATATCAAACTGGACTCTTTATGTAGAGAAAGAGTGGAGAAATATTCCAACTGGACTGCACTAAGGTGGAAACGTGCCAACAAAGAAACTTCTCAAACCATAATAATCAACACAACAGCCACTTTAATAGATATATAGTAATAGAACACTTTGCCGAAGCACAACAAACTTAATATTTTTAAGTATGCACAAGTGTCCAAATACTTTTTGAGGCCATTATAATGTATGAAGTGCAAATAAAAAAAAAAATGTTGGTAATGTTGGGATGATAAAACTGCATGTGACGTTGTTCTAGAATAAATTACTAAATACATAAATAACTGCATAACTGTAGCAACTATATTCCAAATATACACCACTGGCCATCAGAAAGGGTAACATCAGAGCACAGTGAGTCCACAGTGAGGTAGTAGGATGTGGGAAATGATAAATGTACATTACCAGCTCTTCGTTGTCAACGGTGAAGCGAAGCCCTTGCAGCATGGTGATAAATATGGTGATATTTTCTCTGTTGGAGGAGAGGTTGCCAAACTTGAGAGCTAAGGTCTTTAAACTGATCTCTAGCGGGTACAGGTTCAGATGAAGCCAGCATGCACCTCCCTTAAACAGCAGAGGAGGAGAATCCATGTAAAGAAATCTGAAGAGCACCATAAAAAGCCAATTTTGTGGTAGCACTGGCATGTAGCTAAGATGATATCTGATGGGAAATACAGTACTGTCATTGTTACTACTTTCTGGCCCAGCAAACAAGCCTGTGATTATAACTGCAAGCAAAAATTGTGGCTAGCATCTTCATATACTATACTTCAGTACATGTCAGTGTGGCTGTCAGACTCACCACGTCTTTGGAAATGTAACGAACGGGAATTTTGTAATCCTTTGGAAGATTTTCTCTCTGTCAAATGATGCAAGAGACAAAAAATGGAGACAAAAGTTTGTAAAATAAAAGATTTTTTTTCCAGATCTTCATTTTCTAATGTCAGCGAAAAAGTGGTAGGAAAGCTATGACTTACCAGCGTGTCTAAAGTGGCCACATCGTCTGTCAGAGGGCTCCCAAACACACCAGAACAGGTTACAAGGCCAGAAAACAGCAGGACTAACACACATGCACTTCCACCGATCTGGCAAAATGTGAAGAAATAGTTGTTAATGTCACCTAAAAAAGCAAAAAGCAATGTAAAAATACCACCTAGACCAGGGGTCGGCAACATGAGGCTCTTTTACTGCCCTGTTGCAGCTTCACAGCAGAATTAGATTTTTAGGTAAAAATAAAATAATCCTCCTTTGTGGTAAAATAAGGCTCTGCTGATCATTTTAACAGAGTTTTAACATAAAATGGTCACTGGAGTTAACATAGCCTATAACTGCTAATTCACCCTGAAGGTTGACACACAGACTGCTGGTCACCTGTAGCAACGCAGACAACAGTCTTGCCTAGCTAGTAGCTAACGGAGAGACAACGAGAAAGATTTAAGAGACACATCGATCATTTAAAGAAGAATGGACTTCGTTGCATTTATAATCACTCAGCTGGTTTCCTGATATGTTTATTCTGCAAAGAGAGACTGTAAAACACTAAAAAGTGACTAAAAGTCAGCTGCTTGTTCCACCTTAAATGGTGCAGCAGTTATATTCTGGTGGAATGTAACTGAATTTAAGGTGGAATGGGAGAATTCAAACAAGAAGCTGGCGAATCAGAAGCGACTTCCGCTTTGTAAAACGTCGAATGTTGAGAGACATTTTTAAAAGAAACTTTACTACTTTTGCGGAAAAGTTTCCTGCCGGAGATGCGAGAAAAGCATCTATAGCTGAGCACCTATAGCTGAGCTAAAGCTTAAAGCAGAGCACAGTAAGTCTGTGTTTTTTATCCTACACTAGTACATTAGCACACACTGAGACATATTTACTGCAAAGATGGTAAAATGGACATAAAATGTTGTGGCTCCCAACGTGGTTTGATTTTTATTACAAGGACAAAATGGCTCTTCTTAACATTTGGGTTGCCGACCCCTGACCCTGACATAAAAGTACCATATCCTACATTGTTCTTGCATTTAATTTTTTTTTTTCCTTGGGGTCCACTTGTAATGTTTGTGTGGCTTTATGTACCAACCACAGTCATAAATCATTTTACACAACCATTTTCCAACCTCTTTTTATCTTTTGGAATTAAACAGGCTGTTTTTTGTTATTGTGCCTCATTCAAAAAGCAGTAAAACACACCTTAAAGCAGATTAAAACACCCATTTAAAACTACAGCATGAATATGCAGGGCTAAACTGCTGCTGGCTGAATAGGTAGATATATGTAAATGGTTGTTTTCTGTGACATCACAAAAACAGTCAATTCAAAATGGGCTGTTTTTGCAGCTTAGCTTTTATATATGGACTGTGAGGTGACCAGTGAGTTTTAAAACTAAGTATTTACAATCTATATCAAGCTCTTTTACTTAAAAATGAGTGAAAATACAGGCTTTTTAAAGGGGAATTCAAAGTTTTTGCATCATTCAGTTGTTCAGATGTAAACAAAGTCAATAAGAGTGGTTTGATATGAAACACGCTGTTCTAGAGGAACTTACCAAGTCAGAACTGTTCACAGTGGTGGTGATAGAAACCAGACGCCTGAAGCATTTAACGTCTCTAAAAATCTGGTCCTGGATAGCCAGAGTCCAGAACAGTTTGGTGATTTCCACACCTGTTTTGACTCATCTGTTAATTGCCAGGTGTAGCAGGTGTGTTTGAGCAGAGAAACCTCCAAACTGCACTGGACTCCAGCCCTCCATGACCTGAGCTGAATAACCCTGCTCTAAAAGCTACCTCACAGAAAGATATTACACAATAGGTGTCCAGTCTTTCAACAAAGGAGCAGTGTGCTGTAGGTTTCCATTCCAAACAAGCAGGAGCACACCTGATTCTACTCACTTAACACCTTACATGGCATACACTGGCAGGCCCAAAGTTCTATTACACACTTCTATAACCTAAGAACAGTTAGGTAGTTACTAAATAATAAGCCTTAATATGTAATATGCATAGGATTTTAAGGGTTAATCAGTTTGGCTGGTCTCAGTCAAACAAGTGCTCATGTGAGCTCCTGCAATGTTGCAATGAAAGTGTGCAGCCACACTGGCCCTTTTCGGATAAGATCGGACACCAATGAATTACAAAATAGTTATAAATGCACTGCCTGATCCCAGAGCAGAGGTGGGTAGAGTAGCCTAAATCCATACTCAAGTAAAAATATTAATATTTGGATAAAATAATGACTCAAGTAAAAGTAAACGTACCCTCCTGGAAAACAGAGTACAAAACTATCAAGTCAAAAAACTGCAGTGGAACCTCTTACTACATTCAGCACCTATCAGCATAAAAGCTTAAGATTGTTAGGTTCTGTTCTTTTTTTTGGGATTATTATTATTATTATTTTGGTCTAAAATAAAATGCTAAAGCTCCAAAGAGGTGTGACCAATCACAAAGCAGTACAGATAATGAAAAAGGGATTGGTAACTAAATATGAATAGCTAAAATGTAACTGAGTAAAAGGTAGATTCCTTTACTCATTAATATAATTGAGCAGAAGTAAAAATATTATGATTTGAAAAGAAGATCAGTAAGTACAAATTCACTCATTGCTTAAGGACATGTAAATCAATAAATGTAACTAGGTACCTCATCTCTACGCCAGAGACGTGATTCTATGGTAGTTGTATCTTCTTTATTTCTCCCAGTAACTCTGATATCAGATTAACTAGGACTCTGTTGTCTCTCTGCAGCTTTCTTCATAATGAACAACCCTGAACCCAGTAAAAAACACTTTTATAAATGCTGGCTTTACAAATGCATAGTTCAACTGAGGAACCTCCACAACAGGTGAAAATATCTATCTATCTATCTATCTATCTATCTATCTATCTATCTATCTATCTGTCTGTCTGTCTGTCTGTCTACGCTGGCTGTACTTTGAAATTTATTGAAATATGCTTTTGATCTGAACTGATAATGGCGCAGTGTGATGACTGGTGGCTCTACTGTTGTTGCTATGTGCAAAGATTAAATAATAAAAAATGATGGAAATTGCATTTTGTGGCTGCTGTGAGGATTTACGATAAAGTTTTGATTCAAAACAGATTTTTATAATACATTCCAAACAGAGACATAGCTGCAGGCCATCGTACCTCAAGAACCTCACTTTTTTAAATTTTTTTTAGATTTTCCACTGTTTTACCACCATCATCACATATAAAAACTCAGAAGACACGTGTACGTTCACTGCTCATTTTGCATAGTGAACAAAATGGCTATATTTTAGACACTGTAGACATTGTGACCCCTGGTTCCTATCACCCACCACTGTAAGGAATCTCTTCATATCAAACCACAGTGAATGAATTTGTTTACATGTGAATGGCAGCAGAAATTTTGAAAGACTGGTTGAATTCACCTTCAAATACCAGAGCTAGTAACAATTTCTCAGTTCCATGTACATAAGAACTGAGCCCCTAAGGTGATATGTTCATTATTGTTTAATAAGGCGTGGCCACAAATTGATATACTGAGGCCACTATTACTATATTGAGGCCACAAATTGATATACTGAGGCCACAAATTACTATACTGAAGCCATATATTGATATATTGAGGCCATAAATTACTAAATTTAAGCCATATATTGATATATTGAGGCCACAAATTACAAAATTGAAGCCATGAATTGATATATTGAGGCCACAAATTACAATATTGAAGCCATGAATGATATATTGAGGCCACAAATTACTACATTGAAGCCATACATTGATATAGTGAGGCAACAAATTACAAAATTGAAGCCATGAATTGATATATTGAGGTCAAAAATTACTATACTGAGGCAATGAAATGATATATTGAGGCCCCAGGTTATGAGAAGCTTAACGTGTGGCCTCAATGTATTAATTCATGGCCACGCCTTATTAAAAAAATGACCATGTCACCTTAGGGTCTCTGTACACAAGTGACATTTGGGTGGCTTTGTACATTTCAAATAATAATACTTGAGCATATTTATGATGAATGTCTGCTGTTTCTTCAGTTCCTCTCTAGTCCTTCACAGCTGCTCAAACTTTAGCAATGTATTTTGAGCAAAAAAATCCCCAAAAGAGAAGAACAGCACTTCACAAACTCCACAGTAATTCTAGTCCCACTTCAGCTCTGTACTCAACTCAGGACTTCAGTATTTGCCCTGATACTCACGTTGGTTTTCAGTACACACTTAAAAAAGATGGTTCTTCAGTAAAGGGAATGGTTCGGTTTAGAACCATGAGTTCAATATAAAACCATTTCATGCTAAAACATTTCTTTGTACAGTGAAACGGTTCTTCAGACTGTCGGAGAGTGTGTTGTATATGAGTGTATATAGAACCTTTTGAAAATGGTTCTATATAACACCAAAAGGGGCTCTTCTATTGTCTATGCTTTTTTGGTGCTATATAAAACAATTTCCAAAAAGGTTCTACATAGCACCATCTTCAACAGTCTCCATCCATCTGAAGAACCGTTTCACCATGAAAAAAAGAAACATTTAAGCTTTGAAATGGTTCTATGTTTCCTTTTACTAAAGAACCCTTGAAGAACCAACGTTTTAAAGCGTGTATTTTAACTTCTATTCCAGTCAAAGTACCTTTTACCTCAGTGAGTTTCACGCTCCTCTATCACACGCCTGAAGTAGCTACTCTCCTCAGCACAAACACAGACAACACGGTTAATTCATTTAGCTGGCGAGAGAACCGCGGTTCTCGCGCGCTCTCCGGTGCTCTCCTTACCTTAGCCTCCTTCATGTGGAACATGGGATATCAGGCTGAACTTCGGCGAGCTCTTACTTTCCTCTCTTCCTCTGGCGGCGGAATGCAGGCATGATTCCACTTGCACATGTGAAAAGCGGCGATAACAAGCCAAGCAGCCCGAACGCGGCGCGAGCGCAGCGCGAGCTCCGCCGAGTTTCTCCCCCCGCGGGGGCGCTTCAAACGTCAGTCACACTGTGTTTGCTGAGAGTGATGGACACGGCTAAACAGGGAGGTTCGATTCGGCTCAGAGAACCGACTCATTCAAACTGTTTGTTTCGGTGATTCAATGAATCGAACTAGTCATTCTAATTTAAGGGGAACCCCGCCGAGTTTTCAAAAATTCGGCATAATTACATGAAAAAATCAAAATCTAAAGTGATTTAGAGTGGTTTTGTGCGAAATGCTCCGTTCTAGAGAAACGTGCCGAGTCAGAATTGTTCACAGTGGTGGTGATAGGAACCAGACGTCCACCTCTAAAAGCTCCCTCACAGAAAATCATTACATGAGATGGTTATTTCAGATTTATGACTATTTTACCATCATAAACATTATATATAAAAACTCAGAAGGCAAAGGTGTTAGGTTCGTTGGTGGTTCTGAATAGGGGTGGGTGATGTGGCAAAAATATTATATCGTGATACTTCAAGACGATACACGATAGGCATCACAATATTTAGTTTTTCTAAGATTTAGTAAGTTGGAACAAACAAATTAGAAACTCTAATGCCTCAATTAAAACTACAACAACAAAACAACACAATAATAATAATAATAATAACAATAATAATAATAATAATAATAATAATAATAATAACAATGATTTTTATTCATTGTTTAACAAACTGCATTCCACTAAATCCAATAAAGCAGGACTAATTTGTAATGAAACATGTAGGTAGTCAGTGTTCTTTAAGCACTGACAATATCCACAATATGCTCAGAAAAGCATATTGGGACATAATTTGTAACGATAACGATAAAACATTGTCATAAAGCCCACCTCTAGTTTTTAATCCTAAAAATGGCTACATTAACAGCTGGTTTCTATCCTGACCCTGGTTCCTATCACCACCACTGTAAAAAAAAATCTGTGAAATCTGCATCGGTAAGTTTCCCCACAATTCACCATCTCACATTAAACCACTCTTAATTACCTTGTGCATATCTCAAATCTTGAGTATATGTGGAATTTTTTAAAATTTGGTGGAGTTCCCCTTTAAATACAGTTTAAATCATTGCGACTTGTGAATCGGTTCTACCGGTTTATTGAAAGGAATCGTTTCGACAGTATGAATCACTGATGAGTCAAGCGCCGAGTAACATTTCTATGAGAAACTGGGGAGCAGAGCGTCTGACAGTTTAAACCCCTTAAATAATCATAAAATGAGTTGATATCGAGGTTTTATTAATTAAATCATCAGATCAAATGTGTATTAAATACATAGCGGCCTAATCAGAAAAGAAACACCCTGACGGAGCTGCAGAGCTCTAGCTTGCCCTGTGGTTACATTTTTGTAGCCTATTAAAACTGACGTCTTTCTGTCCAGTTTACACGAATCTAACCCCAGGGAACGAGTCTTTTCCCTAAATAGGAAATTCACTACAAGAGCAATTACAGTCTTATCGCAGTGACAGGTGGGCTTTAGTTTCACTGCCTCGATTTATGGCAAAGTTAGTTTCCTCCCTTCCAGTTACAGCTTTCACAGCTATTCAACACGTTACAGCTCTGATCGCTTATCATAAACAAAGGGATTAAAAATCTCTGTGTTGCTCCATTAATGACTAAAAGATCCCCTGCTAACGAATGAAAATTAACAGTATGGATTAAACTAATACCTAAAAATTCACCTCAAAGTAAGAGTTGGATGCACTACTGTGTTGGTGTGTTAGTGTGTGTTGTGCTGGTACAAGTGGATCAGACACAGCAGTGCTGCTGGAGGTTTTAAACACTGTGTCCACTCACTGTCCACTCTATTAGACACTCCTACCTTGTCAGTCCACCTTGTAGATGTAAAGTCAGAGACGATAGCGCATCTGCTGCTGCACGGTTTGTGTTGGTCATCCTCTAGTCCTTCACTGTCGGCTGGATATTTTTGGTTGGTGGACTATTCTCAGTCCAGCAGGGACACTGAGGTGTTTAAAAACTACAGAACTACAAAGTGCACCTATATAGTAAGTGGAGCTGATAAAATGGACAGTGAGCGTAGAAACAAGGTGGTCATAATGTTATGCCTGATCAGGGTGTGTGTGTATTTATATATATATATATATATATATATATATATATATATATATATATATATATATATATATATATATATATATAAATATATACACACACACATATATATATATATATACATACATATACATACACACACACATACATATATATATATATATTGTTGTGTTACACATTTATGTTTAAATGCTTATACATGTCCCATATTTGAAAACTGCCATTTTTAAATAAGTTGGTATTTATATCCATATGTGACAAATATAAACTGGGCATAAGGGAAAGCCACATATGCCAACATGTCATATATTTAAAATCCATATACTGCCATATACCAGAATTCCATATGGGTCTTTTGTGTGGATTTAAGCCCTCTACTGTTACACTGCCACCTAATGGCGATTAAAATATTAATTATCTGTAGTTAAAAGAGGGAGGGGTTAAAGGGGAATTCCACCGATTTTCCAACCATTATAATATGGCATGCATAAATTAATCATTAAGATGTAAACCAAGTCATTTAGACTGGTTTGATGTAAAATTCTTCATTTTAGAGAAACTTACCAAGTCAGAACTGTTCACAGTAGCAGTGAATGGAACCAGACGTCTGAAGACCGAAGACTAATGCCTCTAAAAGCTCCCTCACAGAAAGATATTACATGAAAGAAATAGTTATGTTGCCTGATGTCTGAGACACTGATTACAAAAGTTTTATATTAAAAAAAAAAAAGCTTTTGGCCTACAATGTACTTATTTGTAAATCCAATCACTGCAGAGAGATAGAAGCAGCGCCTTACCCTACACAAAGCACTCTGAATTCAACAAATGAATTATGTAGAAATCCTGTAAAATTATGCAATTTCCCCTTTAATTTTAGACCCCAGCTACATAATTAGACACTACTGGAATTACTGGACTGGAGTTAGACAACCTTAAAATCAAAATCTGAAATACGTAATAATCTATTTTGATCTTAAAAAGGATCAGTTAAGAGCTGAAAAAACAAGGTTAAAAAACATTCAAAAGGTTCAATAAAAGACACTTGATTATGAAATAACATGTATTATAATAGTCAACCGTTTACACCATGAGGCAAAAGTGCACATCTCAACATCATTCATTTAAGGGACAATGGTTAAACAAGATCTTAGTAGAAATGGAAAAGTGCCATTACAAAAAACAACCGATGTCAAACAGTTCCTGCAGCTACTTGTGACTGGTCAGATAAATAGGCTTAGCAGGTCATCCTCTAATCTCTGAATCATTACAGAGAATAATAATATGAATAAACATCACGTGTAACATTTTCCAAACGTGACCATCAGTCAAACGTCCTGGCACACCCAATCACTCGGGAGCAGGTTTCAACATCATGAAGGAATGTAGTGGTTCTGACACGTAGCGTATGATGTAATGCTGCAGTCTCTGGTGAGTAGACCAAAAAATACTTTGCTGATGACAGAAGGTGTTTTAAATGAATGCATGGAATTGGACGGCAACTCTGGATTGAACATTAGTGAAGCAAATACACAAAACGAATCCGCCCTCCTGCCCTTTGTTCCTGAGAAAGACGATGGTAAAATGGGGCAGTTGAGCTCACTTCCTCTTGCGTGGGCTTTTGTCTGAGTCCTGCTTCCTCTCCTCGGAGTTGTCCTTCTTCCCTCCCCGACTGGGAGGCGCACGGCTTTTCTCAGAGCCTTCGTGAGCCTCTCTGGGTTTCTTATTTTTGTGCTCGGACACAGATTTCGGCTTCGGGCCTTTGGGGTGGTGGGGCCGAGAGAACAGGGCTTTTAGGAGGAGGATGGAGACCACGGTGGCGAACAGAGTTAAAAGCACCAAGGGCCCAGAGAGGCCCCTCACATGACCGCGTAAGAGACCCAGGGCCTGGGATACAGGTGTGTCTGAACTGGGCTGGACTGGAAATTTCCCCTGGATAGAGACAGACAAAGAATGGACACATACATACTCAGCAACATGTACTAGATACATACATACATACATACATAGTCATTTGCAAAAGTCTGAATACCCCCAGCTAAATTATGTTATGTTGAAGTTAACAAACGCTTTACTTAAATACAAAGAAAACGAATTACTGCACAATTTCTATATATCTGCGGAGTTTAACATACTGGAAAAAAGACACATAACATACTAAATGTGCCATAACTTTTGCACAGGACACGATTTCTCAAATATATTAAATTCAGAGTAAAAGTGCAATAACATGTGCAGAGGAAATTAATTTCACTTAGAAAACCAACAAAACATTATTTTAACCAGGGGTGCCTAAATATTTGCATACTGTATATAAGACGTAATAAGCCAATAAAAACACAGTATAAGATGATTATAACTAAAGTCTGCTGCATACCAGGGGAGCCATGCTAGGGCAGATAATACAAAACACAACTACACACAGTAAAGCGTCACAGTGACAGTGCTAATAAACATCAAGCTCATTTTACACTTTACTCGTACATATTTAATGTAATAAAACATTCAACACAATTTATATGTTTATCACGTATGATTTTAGCTCACCACCTCTTTACAAACTCACTGTATTCGAGCTAAAAGATAAGGTGTAAAAAGACTAGGCTAACCTCAGCTCAGGTAACAGGCCATTAGCACTTTATCTAAAACAGCAGTTCTCAATCGTTTTTTTAGTCTAAGGCCCCTTTAGTGGATAGTAAGTACCACTGTTCACACCCCTTACCCTACCCCGCTGGCCTCCTTGTATCCCAGTACTGCGGTATAGTTTAATACCATTATACCATCCAACCCTAATCGCCTATACGTCCCTCAGTCTCTTCCAGTGGACTCATTTGCTGTGTTTTGTAGACTTTGTGTAAATTTTGCACATATTTCAGTTTTAGTTTTGTGACATTTTCACATACCAATTTTAGGGAGTTAAAAACACTACAGTTTTATATGAGACAATTCAGGTTTTTGTATGACTTACAGCTGAGTTGCACCGTTTCTTACACAATAAAATTCTACTTTATAACCTTTGGTTCTGAAATGAAATTAATATTCAGAGCCAAACCAATAATGTATATAATTAGCACTCTGAAGCTCAGAATTGAGAAATTAAAGCATTAAACATCAAAAATCAAATCAAAGTTTATTCTCAGAATCCAAAATCGTTATCAATCTGAAATTAGTGCATCTTGGTCAGATAAGGATGACACTGTGGTCCATCACAAGCCTCAATTACCTTCAGTCCAGCATCACTCAGCAGTGTATCAAGTGTAGGGTCACCCAAGTGCACTGTGGGAAAGAACGCCCTCACGTACTGCCTTTTCCACCAGGCCTGCGGATGGGTCCTGCCACACAACACAGTTACAGGAATGTCTGAGTATCACTTCAACCACTACACAGCACATAAAATCCTCTCGGTTCCTCTCTCAGGCTTTCGTTCTGTTGCTCTGAGGGAGTTTTTCCTTCCCACAGTGTCTGTATTTCTCTGGATGTCCGTAAATGCTGCTGTAAAAAGCACTATACAAATAAATTAGAAGTCTGAACTGAATAACTGATTTCTAAAGTAGACAGAAGCTAATGTCAGTCTTTTAGAGAATTTTTCATCTTTTTGACATGAGGGTGAGCATTTGTCAGTGTTAAACGACCAACTCCTCCACTTCTGTGGTCCAGTGTCAATGTTAATTATGTCAGAAAATATCAGGCCTGCAATCACTCTGGAGCTGGACTGGAAGAGTGCCTCGTTTCCCCTCTCACCCTATCAGATCGTCCATGCATCAACTGCTTCCGATCGAGATCCTGATCTGCAAATTCACTTACGTTTGTCTATACAGGGTTCATACATCTTTTCCAAGGTCAAATTCAAGCACTTTTCAAGCACTTTCAAGGTTCATTTTCAAGCTTTTCCAGCCCTTTACAGCTGTAGTAAATTACATATATCCGGTGTCCACCAGAGGAGGATGGGTTCCCCTTTTGAGTCTGGTTCCTCTCAAGGTTTCTTCCTCCTGTTGAGGGAGTTTTTCCTTGCCACTGTCGCCAAGGCTTGCTCACTGGGGGCGTGGACTCTCTGTAAAGCTGCTTTGTGACAACATCTGTTGTAAAAGGCGCTATATAAATAAATTTGACTTGACTTGACATATTTATCCAAATACAAACATACTCAAAATAATTCATTCACTTTGTATCACTTTAAAAGAGATGGTATTATGCTATGAACAACCAGAATTGTGTTTGGTGATAGCATAACAAATGAAAGGAAAACATACGGTTTATGTTCCAAAATGTGTCACCTGTTTGTAAGTAGACTTTCCTTGCTATCTAACCCTGCTGAGTCAGGATAAAACAATTTCCCAAAAACTTACTCAACAAATAACTTCACTGAAAATGTCCAAAACAACAACATTCACCTCTGAGGTAGGGAGTCAATCAGCTCTGTAACTTTCCACAGTATTGTGCAAATCAAAACAATAGGAATAGTGGCTAGAGATACAACCTGAAAACAGACTGGCAGATCGCAGTCACACACTAGCTGGCGGTGTACGGGTTGCGAACGAGCTCTTTGAGCAGGTCTTTTAAGTCAGAGGTCGACAACCCAAATGCTTAGAAGAGCCATTTTGTCCTTTCAACAAAAACCAAACCACCTTGTTAGCCACAATATTTCATGTCCATTTTAACATCTTGGCTGTAAATATGTCTCAGTATGTGCTGATGTACTAGTATAAGCTAAAACATATATAATATAAAACACAGACTTACTTTGCTCTGCTTTAAGCTTTAGCTCAGCTATAGCTGCTTTTCTCGCATCTTTAGCAGGAAACTTTTCAACAAAAGTAGAACAGTTTCCTGTAAAATGTCTCTCAATGTTTGACTTTAACGAGGCTGAAGTCGCTTCTCATGCACCAGCTCCTTGTTTTAATTTTTCCGTTGCACCTTAAATGGTGCCTCAAGTGCCAGAATGCAACTGCTGCACTATTTAAAGTGGAACAGGACAATTCTAACAAGAAACTGACTTCAGCGTCGCGACTTTTTAGTGTTTGACAGTTTCTCGTTGCAGATTAAACGTATCTGGAAACCAGCTGGAGTGATTATAAATGCAAGCAAGTCATTTAATCTCCAAATTATCGATGTTCGTCTTAAATCTTTCTCTTTGCCATTTCGTTAGCTACTAGCTAGGCTAGACTTGTCTGCGTTGCTGCGGTGACCAGCAGCCTGTGCTGATCTTCAGGGTTAAAGCATGAATTAGCAGTTATATATTAACTGCAGCGTTTAAGATTATTTATTGTTAAAACTGTGTTGAATGATCAGCAGAGCTTTATTTTACTGTAAAGGATTTTTACCTACAAATCTAATTCTGCTGTGGAGCCACAACAGGGCAGTCACGATGGGAGCCGGCTCCCGTCCAAGAGCCGTTTTTCTGTCTTTCTTTTTTGTAACTTAATAGTTACAACGGCAGAGCCATTTGGGAGCCAAAAGAGTCGCCACGAGACGAAATTCACATCATACACACATGCAGGCACGCAAGCGAGGCCAGGCGGAGCAGTTTTCATTTTAGGCTGCGACTTATTTTATTTCTCCATCTAATAACCGAACTATTCAGTCAGAGAGCTGTTTGCTGTGAATGAAATACATTATCAAGCACTTTCAATTCCAGCACTTTTCAAACCTGAAACATACAACATTCAAATTCAAGTATTTGCAAGGATTTCAAGCACCCGTACAAACGCCGTCTATATTTGTTGTGAAGGGCAAATCTGGGGGTTACAGGGGAATTCCACTGATTTTTCTAAATTTCAACTGTCAATATGCAAAAAGTAATTCAGAGTGTTTTGATGCAAAATGATTAATTTGCAGAGACTTTGTCTTTACAGTGGTGGTGATAGGAACCAGGAGTCACAATGTCTACAATGCAAAATAGCAATTTTATTTACTATCCAAAATAACCAGTGGACCCTTTTTTTTGAGGTTTTATATTTTGATAATGATAAAATAGTAGTGATTAGAAAAATGTATCATTTAATGATAAGTAAGTTTTAAAGGACAAAACTATCATAAAACAATGTCATCAGGCAGCATATTCAAGATCATTTCATTGTATGTAATAACTTTCGGTGAGGGAGCTTTTAAAGGTGTATGTCTGGTTCCATCACCACCACTGAACAAGTCTGACTTTGTAAGTTTCTCCAGAACGGACCATTTCACACCAAACCACTCTGAACGCCTTTATTTACATCTTAATGATTTAAAAGTATGCAGACGTTTTGCAAAATTGGTGGAATTCCCCTTTAAAATCAGGCTAAAACCAGTGTACCATACACCTGTCATTATCTATGGTGGAGCAGGAGCAGCCGTCATCTTCTGTATCCTTTTTGTTGAGCTAAAGGTAGCAGCTTCATAAAGCTGATGTCTACCTCATGTATCTTCTGCTTCACAACGCTTGTAATGTAATGTAAATGTGATCATCCATGCATACATGAAAAAGGTCATTATTCAGTATCAAAAAAACGCTGGCTGTGTCTGCGTTCAACTCACCCATCCTCGGTGGTCCGGGTGAAGTGGTAGTGGTAGACTTTGGCTCTAATGAAAGCTGGTGGAGTTTGGCTGAAGGGGTACTGAGCTTCATCCACCTGCAGCAGACTCACCACTACAGCAGAGCAGAGACAGACAGAAACAGCTCAATAAACCCAACTGATTCAGAAGAAAGCAGCCTGTTAGTCTGGCTATGCATTCTGCATCTGGACAAGAGAAGGTTAAGTTTCAGGATTCAGTGCATCAATCCGGAATCCTATCAATACATTTAAATAAGGGTACAAGAAACCTGAATTTGAAAATTCATCATCTGATATGAATAACTGCTTTTGTCCATGTTAAATTTACTGTATGACTGCATACGAGAAAACAAAAGTAAATTTATTTACTGGCTGTTTTCTTGTTTTCTGGGTTTCAGCACATTTAATCATTTATTTCCCATTTATTGTCAACATTTATATAATTCTGAGTGGGGCGTCTGCGTGTTGGTGACAGCCGATCTTTCTGAGATGAGTGGACCGTGTTATGCTGCATTCGACTTGGCTCAAAAGAGGGAAGCTGGAGTTTGTACGTTTTTTTTTTTAAGTGAACTTAATGTTCAATGTTACAGTTTAATAAAATACTGTGTATGTTAGAGCAGTGGTTCTTTATTACTGTTGACTGTGTGAGCCATGTTGGTTTGGTATCATACGCTGATCCGAGTTGAGGACACCATCCAAAATTTCTGAGCAGGAATTTCCAGCTGATCCTAGTCAGAGGTGAGACATTCCAAGTTATGAGCTTCAGTCAAATGCAGCATTAAACTGGAACCTTTTTTTCTACCGCTTCATTACTGAATTTTGGCCTTAGTATGCAATTAACTGTACTGCATTGTGCTTAACATCACTGCAATGTTCCTCTTTTCCATCACGTGTTCTGATTTCTAACATGCAGCCTATCCATTACATTTACAGTGCTGACATTAACTTAAGCAAGTACACTTTCCCACCATCAGCAGGAGTAGAAAACATGTTGTAACTCAACCGTTTTTGTTTCGTTTCTTAATCCTTGTCATTTTGCTGTGACATGTTACCTCTGCTTTGCATACTGTGCTTTGCACGCTGTGCCTTTTGTGGCGTGTTTATCTCTCTTTGCCCCCAACACTAAAGTTCTGTCTGTGCCATATATGATTTCTTCATATAATACAATGAAAAGACTGAAGCTGCACTGCCCCCATGTGACTAGAGTGCATTGAAATCTGCAGGAATTCACACACAAATATTAACATCATAGTGTTTTACAAAGTAAAAAAAAGTCTTATAATAGACGTAGAAATCTTTGCAGCCCTATATGAAATCTCAAATCTCACCATGATTTGAATAGATTCCATTATTTTAGCAGGACTCAGAACTATTTTTAAAAATATACTGAATACACAAATGTGACTGGAGAAATTCCATGGTGGAACATAGAAAATAGTCTGACCAATAAATGACCAAGATTTTGAATAAATGACTACAATTATAACATCCCAAAAGAGATGCAGCCTTATCGTCACCTTCAGAGTGATGCTTAACACCTACTGTACGACAATGGCCTGTGTAACTGCTCAGATATGGCTCACCGTCCTGCTTGCCCTCCAGCAGACGCTGCATTAGGCCTGTAAACCAGTGGTTCTGGTCGTGCTCCCCCACAGCAGCCTCCCACAGCAGCCAGTCTAGCCGAGGCTGGTGAGGCCCCACCACCGGAGGACCTTCACTCAGACTGTCCGGTTTGTACATGAGGTTCAGTTCCTGAAATGGGACAGGAAGACGGAGAGTCTGTATCAGCAAAAAGAGCTTGGGCACATGCTGTTTCCTGACAGACACAGCACACAATGTGGCTGCTATGGTCTCTGGTGGTGATGTGGTATCACATGTGATTATACATGAATAACCCTGAGCTGAGAGAGGAAATCAAGGGGAAAAGCTGCACTGGCCAATATGTTAAAATGCAGTTTAACAGAGAAGCACAACTGTTTTAAATAGGTTTAAAAAGTTTTAAAGAAAAAAGTTTAAAAAGGTAAAAGTTTACATTTAAAACAAGGACAAAAACTGCTATTTTTTTCTATCTGCACTCAGGACTCATGGAAATGTGTTACACAAATGTTAGTCCTAGCTTTGGGTCGATAACCAATATTAAGGAACACTGCAATAATTTAAATAAGAGCTGATATTATTCAAGTTATCATTCTTTCGTTCTCTTTGATATAACGATTTTTTTTTAAAGCTACGCCTTTATTCCTTTTGTACAATCATTCTAATCTATGGTTAATCCAAAAATGCATACAGTAGAAAAGACTGCTTTTGATTGGCTTTAAAAACAGAAAATCACCGTCTACACACACACATACATACATACATACTTGCATACAGACAGTCATATGCAAAAGTTTGGGCACACCTGGCCAAATGACATTTTGTATGACTTTCTAAGTGAAATTTTTCTAAGTGAAACACACTTTAATAAACAATTACCATTTATCTCCTGAAATTAACATATTGGTAAAAAATGAAACATAAAATGTGGCCTGTGCAAAAGTTATGGCATAGTGTTATGCTGGGGAACATTCAAATGAAACAAAGAAACTCTGCTCTCTGGTAGAGAATAAAATAGATGAGGTTTTCAAGAAGAAGGGTGTCAACATTACAGTTTGGCAATACTTTGGTTTCCAACCAAACCAACCATGAGAGCCACTGGATGTTAACAATGTTACATGCTGTCTGTGTAGAATGTAGTCATCACTATCATCATAAATGATGAAGCAAGTAATTTTACAACCTAGCTCACTTGGTAATTATATTACTATCAATAAAAATGTAAGCTGTGGGGCCAGGTCTTAATCAAATTTGGATCACAGGGATATTGCTTTTCATGATAATTCTGCAAATGACCATTTGTCTAAATTCATATTAGAATTTCTATTCATGTGTTACTTATTTGAGGCCAATTCATGTACATCACTGCGAACTGTATTTGTGAGGGGGAGTCACCTCTATCAGTGCATGGAAAGCAGCCAGACCTGTTATTATGTAACTGTATTTATTACAGCAGCTTTATTACAGCAGTTTTATAGCTATTTTCATACACCTGCACTCTTCATTTCACTCCATTTTCACTAAGGTAAAACGGTATTTACCACTACTGAATTTAGTGTTACAGGATAATGTCTGCTAAACCAGTTAGACACATCATAATCTATACATTAGAGCCTAGTCATAATTATTTGAGCTGAATGTAGTTATTTTTCCCCCACAGATATTTTCACAATGATTTTTATGTCCCTAATGGTAACTGAGTGCATTTTTATTCACTGGTTTGAGTCAAATTAATGTAAATAATAACAAAAAAAGCAGAAAACTTGTTGAGACACGTCGTGAGTTTTACAAAAAACAACAAACAACTGATTTGGTGCTTTAACAACTTTAGGGGGCAGCGGTGAGTAGCGTTTGTTTATTTGAGCTTTATTGGGTGCACAGTGGGAGCTACTAAGTGTCGACAGCTAGGAAGCAAGACAGCTAATCAGCCACTTTAATCTTGTACTTTCATTTTTGCAAACAATGAACAAAAACGAGCTCTCATTAAAATGTTAATCACAAGACTTTTTAAAGCAATTAATCGTCAGCTAAAACTTCAGGATCGTGACGGACCTAGAATACTTCAAAGCCTTGCTTGCTGACCAGGGGTGTGTTCCACGAAGCAGGATTTCGCAGTTAGCCAGATAACTTAAGCCCAAAGATGAGGAGTGTCCAATGGGAATGTCCCTCAGCTCTTTTCCTATTGGACAGGCTTGACGTTGGGCTAAAGTTATCTAGCTAAACAGAGAAATCCTGCTGTGTGGAATATAGTTTTCTTTTCATGACTTTTACTCATATCTGTGCTTATGCTAAAATGATTTTAATTCGGCCCCACTGGAATGACACTTTAGCTCTTCTGAGTATAAATGACTGCTCAAAATGACTATAAATAATTATACAAGCAATAAAATATTCATGTTGATGTTTTAGCCCTTGTGAACCTCACTAGCCTTTGTTTTGATGGCCCCAGGTCTCATGTATGCAGTGTTGCAGGTGCTCTCATGAATATTTAAAATCACGCCCACATAAACCAACATTAGAATTCAAGAGCACAGAATGACTGCTGCTACTATACTACTGTGCATTAGGCTTTATTTGGCTAGTTTCATCAATGTTAGGCAGACGAGCCGAAAACTCTCTTACCGTCCATGTCTTCTTATCCGCACTGCCTTCAATGACGATTTCAGGCCGTCCTGCAGGAGGGACCATTCTGTGCTGAATGCCGTACGCGCTGACCAGCTGATACTTCTCCACAGCACCGTAAGCCTTCCTTACCTCGGGTAAAATTTTACCGCCAGACATACCAGCCATGGCAGTGTATGGAACCTGGAGGTGAACACAAGCAAATCAGACTTGCACAAATATAACAGTAAACTGAGGAAGCACAGAAACCTAATTGTGTAGTTTTCAGCCTTACAAGCAAAATAAACCATTGGCCATTTCATGTTAGTGTGCACAAATCTGAAAACCTCTCTGTAGACCAGTCAGATATCATATACAGTCATATGCAAAAGTTTAGGTGCCCCTTGTGAAATGAAACATTGTTGAATTTCTAAGTGAAAATAAGCAAACATCCTCTACAGAGAGCACTTTCACATATTTATATGCATACGTTGTTTATTTTCTGAATTAAAATACTCAAAAAATTATAGCACATTATATTTTGTTTTCCATTTTGTTAAACTTAGCCACAAAAAATAAACACACACAAAACAAAACAACACCCTGCACAAAGATTTGCAAATGAATAAATAAATAAATAAAAAAATGTTAAATGTCATTTAAAAGGGATGCTCAAATTTTTTCAAATGACTGTATAGTGGCCTCAAAAGTGTTAAACGTTTTATGAAGAAACCTAAAGAACATCTTTGAAAGAAAGTACACAAATAAAGTTGTTTTTTTCATTTGAGAGCATAATTTTAATTCATTATAAGTCATAGTTTTATTAATTTCTTTTCCATAAAAATAATAATACTCATATGTAATTTCCTTTGGTACCTTTCGCTACTAAAATAACTTAAAATGCTAACAGATTAAAAAAAAAATAATAATAATTATGTAACAACCCATTTGTTCTCTCCTTGGGTTAAAACATCCCTCTGGCGGACCAACTTAGGCCCACGGACACCACTTTGTGCAGCCTTATATATTTGTTTTGTCCAAAACAAACTGATCTTATCAAACACCAGAGCACCAAATGTTCTGTATCCCAAGTTACTGCTTAGAGAAATTAAGTTTAGAAGAAAAAACACTCAAATATGGAAATACTACAAATTGCTTTGAGTTTTTACTTACAAGACTGAGAGCGAATACAGCTGCAGCTGCAGCAGTGAAGACGGCCCACTGAATGAGACTCAAGAACTTGTTCAGGATGCCTCGAGCACATACACACCTGTGACAGAGGTTTACAGACAGTTTGGTAACATTTTTGCAAAGGTTCATTTAAAAAACACAAAAAACAAAACATTACAAAATAAAACACAGATCTTACTTGAGCAAAGCAGCCACCACTTCCCAAGTCAGAGAAAGCACGCCCACCCAAATGGTTGGAACCTGGATTTGTTCGACAAACTCCTCAAAGCCCTTATGAGAGAAGGCTGTCAGAAGGAAACGGCAATGGATTGTCAGCAAATGTATTAAATAAGCAATAAATATTCTGGACCTTCAACAAATGGCAGTAGAACAAAGAGAGACTGTATGACTGTAAGAGAGAACAGTGAGAACTTCAACAGGTGTGCTTGGGCGGCTTCTGCTTAAGGCTAGAAGGCCGGACCCCCCCTGAAAATCTGAAGGATTGGAATGAGGAAGAATGGCTGGGGTGTGAAATCTTCATCACAGGAAAGAGAAGTTAGAGCAAGTAATTTGCAGGAAGTTGGATAGGAAGGAGAAAGAGTTTTAAGTGTTGATATTATTGCCATCATAATTATTTCTACATTCTGACTGACTTTCTATGACGGTGCAACCTAAAATTCCTGAAGTCCTAAAATTGTCACTGAAGAGAAAAGCTGTAGCAGCACAGAACAAAACATTTACAGGACAAAAGTTCAATTCTTTGGCAATTCAGTGATTCATTTTCCTTTTTAATTTTCCATTTTTGTGGCATTAGAAAATGCACTTTTGAAAATATGCATGTTCATTTCATAATGAAACAGCACCTCCTAATTTCACCTTTTGTGAAAGTACACTTACTATATTACTATAATAAAATAAGCTTTGCCAAACAGAATCTCGGGTCATCACTGCAAGTTCTCTAAAGCCAGAGTTACACTACACGACTTCCCCCCCCCCAGATTTTAGCCCTGATTCTCAGTCTGGCCGAGTCTGTGCTAGTTGGCTCTAGTCTGCAGATTTTTAGGTCAGTCAGAGTCGACAGTTGGAGAGAGAATCGAGTCGTGTTTGAGGGGAGCAGACTCAGATTTTTGGCTTCCTGATCGCGTTTCAGACCAGCTGGAGTTTATCAAACGTTTGATTTTTTTTTTCGACACGACTCGTAATCTAGCGTAAACTGATCAGCGACTCAATCTGAACAATTCATGCAACAGCCAATGAAAAGAGAGTGAGAAAGAACAAAATACGGGGAGTAAACAAAGAAAAATGGCAAAAAGTCTCTCACGTGTGGAGTGAAGCTGTGTAATGAGCTGAGTTTAAGGCTGAAGCTCAATCGAGTTCATGTACATTTAAAACTCTAATAAAACACACTTCACATTTTTAAATCCATGGTCCTCACTTAAACATATTTACCTGCTGCTTCTTCACTGTGTCAGAGCAAACAGTAGAGAAAACAGCATTAGCAGCAGAGGCAAGCCGCTAACTCTGTTTATTTGCGTCTCCTGGTCACAAGGACTCACGAGAGAACGCGTGAGTTTGTGTGAGTTGCGAGAGTTCAGTGAGCTCCATTCGATTCTGCGACGGCTTAAAAGATAATTAGTGTGTGATCCCCAATATTTCAGTCACCCAAAATAATCTGCAAAAAACACCCAGACAGTGCGAGATGCCCAGTCTGTTTATAATCTGTTAAGACATTAAAAGTCGTGTAGTGAACCCAAGGCTTAAAAAATTGTTTTTCCACATTAACTTGGCACACATCCTGAAGTTAAGGCTAAAAATGACTCATAAGCCCAGACCCATCTACTAATTGAAACTCACTTATTTTCGATGCTACAATCTTCTTCTCCCAGTTGATCTCCAGTTTGAAGAGCTTTACGGCACTGAACAAAATAAGGAAGAAGACAGCCAGCTTCACCAGAAAAGACAGACACGAGACCAAAAACTGGCTCCAAGCTGAAAAAAAAAGATAAAGGTACAGAGACAGAACTATCAACAAAGTATAGAAGATGATCAAAACTCTTGAGATCATAACTGCAGTCATATGCAAACATTTGAGCACCCCGGTCAAATTACATGTTTTCTTAATTTTTCTCAGTGAAAATAAGTTAGTCACCACAGAGAACGCACTTAAATATGGCATTTTTCTGCAATTTTAATGCACAATTTATGTATTTGCTGAGTTTAACATAATATTAAACAATAAAACAAAATATATAAATGTGCCTTTGGCACCATTTGTGCCCCCAATACATTACATTCAGCAAATAAACAGTAATTGTGCAATAACATGTGCAGAAGTGTGTTCTCTATAGAGGATGTGTTATTTTACAGATTTTCAGTTAGAAAATCAACAAAGCATGTCTTTTGAATGGGGCGTCTAAACTTGAACACTTAACTGTATTTCAAGGCAAGTTTACTTATACAACACACACACACACACACACACACACACACAAAGGCAATCCAAACTGCTGTATATAAACAGAAGCAAAGTAATTACAGCGTTGAACAATGCAAGAATGAAATAAGACGAATTAGAAATGTAAATACTGTTTTTTAAAAGTGCAAATCTAGACAGAAAATGCTTAAATGTTAAAAGCACAGAAAAAAAGAGGCGTCTTCAGTCTGGACTTAAAGTCAACTTAAAAGACGTATCACGTAATGACCGGTCACCACACGTAGGCGTGTTGAATACACATCATTCCAACCCAAAGGCACAAGTCTGATCCAAAATGACAACACTTAGGGGCTGGTTTACTAAGAGAGGCGCTAATTACCGACTGTCTAATGACACTTTGCGCTGATGGGGGCGGCCACTACAGCAGGTTACCTACTAATGGTGTTGATGTACTTTCTGTTTTGAAACACAAGCTTGAGTTCTGTGTTGGGTGCATTTGGAAACCATGTGATATTGTTTGGTAACTGTGTGATTTTGAGCCTAACTTTTCAACTACACACAGTACACAGAAGCCACGAATAACAAAGTAACGTAGCATTAGAAAAGCAGGGATTATAGAATAAATAAGTTCCAATATGTGCTTTCAGAAAGAAAAAAGGAAAACCTGCTTCTTGATTGTGCTGTACAACACACTGATCAGGCATAACATTATGACCACCTCCTTGTTTCTACGCTCATTGTCCATTTTATCAGCTCCACTTACTATATAGGTGCACTTTGTAGTTCTACAGTTACAGACTGTAGTCCATCTGTTTCTCTGCATACTTTGTTAGCCCCCTTTTACCCTGTTCTTCAGTGGTCAGGACCCCCATGGACCCTCACAGAGCAGGTACTATTTGGGTGGTGGGTCATTCTCAGCACTGCAGTAACACTGACATGGTGTTGGTGTGTTAGTGTGTGTTGTGCTGGTGCGAGTGGATCAGACACAGCAGTGCTGCTGGAGTTTTTAAACACCTCAGTGTCACTGCTGGACTGAGAATAGTCCACCAACCAAAAATATCCAGCCAACAGCGAACTGTGGGCAGCGTCCTCTGACCACTGATGAAGGACTAGAGGATGATTAGCTCATACGGTACAGTAAGAGATGAGCTATTGTCTAACTTTACATCTACAAGGTGGACCAACAAGGTAGGAGTGTCTAATAGAGTGGACAGTGAGTGGACACAGTGTTTAAAAACTCCAGCAGCACTGCTGTGTCTGATCCACTCAGACCAGCACAACACACACTAACACACCACCACCACATCAGTGTTACTGCAGTGCTGAGAATGATCCACCACCCAAATAGTACCTGCTCTGTGAGGGTCCATGGGGGTCCTGACCACTGAAGAACAGGGTAAAGGGGGCTAACAAAGTATGCAGAGAAACAGATGGACTACAGTCTGTAATTGTAGAACTACAAAGTGCACCTATATAGTAAGTGGAGCTGATAAAATGGACAATGAGCGTAGAAACAAGGAGGTGGTCACAATGTTATGCCTGATCAGTGTATACCCAAAGATTTAGTCTAACAGGTTTTCATAGTATCCATAAAATGCAATTTCACACAAAACCGCCTTGATTTTTAGTATTTTTCATTAAATTAAACTAAATACCCAAATATCTGCCAGTGCTATGAGGCCTGCAGAAAGATGTTAACATTCAAAAACTATTTATTTGTTTTTTTCTAAAACTATTTTTTTATTTATTTCTGTCATCAAATTAAGAATAATGTGACTTGACAGGCATTTAATAGGGCATCTGTTCTATCAACATGAAAGCGTTTGAAAAACTCTCTTTTCTCTTTGAGCACAAACAACTGCAGCCATGTTGGTGCCAAAATAAACAAGCTTTTCTCAGGCGTCAAACAGTGCACAGACAATATTTACCATCGGTCCTAATAAATCAGAGTAGGTGCTTCATTATAATAATCTCCTCTCTATTTATTTTAAAACACGACAGCCACTTTTTAATGCCAAAATGGAGTTTACGAAGGCGCAAAACGTTAGGAAATCTGCCCCATATGGTCAAATACACTTTGCTAAGAAAGAGGAGATCATACTCTTAGTCTTAGTCTTTTTCTTGTGGCAGCTGAAGTGATCATCATCCAGGAGAGAGAAGCTCAGTGCGATGGTCAGCAGGTGCAACAGGCTGAAACCACCCAGGAGGATGAAGCACAGCTGGAGAAACACCTGGAAAAAAAAAAGAGACAGCAACATATAAAGGCTGAGGTTCCATTTTAATGGCTGCCATTCATTCTACAGTCACTGCAGCAGTAATGAGAGTTAATCCATCACCCAGCCATTCAACACACACAGCACACAAACAGTGAATGAACTAATTTGCTATTGACATTCATTTGCATTCTTGCTTTTTCTCGATAAGGAACGTAATCACACCTCTTTCATCACTCGTTCACGAGTAGGAGTGAACGACTGACCTGGACATAAAAAGCGCCGATCCTCAAGCCGCGCACAGGCGCGAAGAACATCAGCAGGGGAACGGTAATCTCAGCCGTCAGCACGTAAACCGCTCCGAGCTTGGACAGCCAATCAGGGAGCTGGTGGGCGTACCAGGCCAAAGGGGTGGGGCTGGCTTGGGTCTCATAATGCCGACTCAGCGCTGCAAAAGTGATTCGTAGACGGTTTGTGAGAACTTGATGAGAACTTTTCCACCTGGCCTCAACGTGGCCAGAGATAAAGGACCCAGAAGGAAATTCTGGGCCTTTCACTGACCTGTCAATGATTGAAAATCATGGTCCTGAGGTGACCCTGCCTGGGGACCAGCATTTTTCCATTCAAATATTCACAGTAGTATTTCAATATGCCAATGAGAACATATTTTGTATCATTATGAATAAAAACTACAATATGGAAGGTTTGACGTCCCATATTAATAATAAAAAAACATTGTCAAAGTTTTAAAACATACCTTTCACTACCCAGTACATACAGTCTATATATGGAAACTAAGCTGCTAAAAACAGCCTGTTGTGAATTCATTATTTCCGTGATGCCATGAGAACCGACTCATTTACATACAACCACCTACAGCCTACAGCAGCGGAGCTCCGCTCATTCAGATTGTAGCTATAAAGAGTGTTTCAGCTCTGAGTGCTTTCGGAATGAGGCCCAACACAGGGTAGCCAATCAAGACAGAGCTCATTTGCATATATCAGTCTTAAATGTGCAGCAACAAAAAAGCCTGTTTAATTCTAAGGGATAAAGTGAGGCTATAAAACAGTCATGTAAAAATGATTTATGACCATTTTTGGTACATAAAATGATACCAAATCATTAGGGGGAAAATAAAATAGAAGAAAAGTGTAGCATATGAGGCGTTTAACATTTGTTTAAGAGGTAATTTATAACTGCTGGTTGTTTTTTATCTTTGCTTTAGATATATGTGATCTAACAAACTACCAGATGACCTATCAACTATCTTACAGTACAAATAGGTCATTTTTTTGTTTGCAATATTTCCATACAGGGCACAGCAGGGCGTAACCTTTGTTCACAGATTTTATTATTATCATTAGGCTCTGCCTCGCTCTCCCCTATAGGTCCACACAGACGTCTCCATTTCACTTAATGTGAGACACAATAACAGACGTGTCCACACATTCTCTGCGGTTTTACTCTCAGTCAAAAATGTAAAAATTACAGGTTAAAACTTGATTCATCTCATTTTTCTTTATTCCAAACTACACGTCCTGTTTAATAACTCGATTAAGTAAAACTGTTTGGATATCTGTAAGGACCATTCTACCAAATTAGTTCAAACTAACAACATAAAAAAATTATTTTAACTACATTCGTACATTTTAGAAGAAGTGAGGCTGCATCCCTGTCCCTCATGGCCACATGGTGAGCAGTTAGATCCCACTGTTTTGAAGTAAATGTGTCCGAAAGTCAGAAAATTAGTGTGGAATATTAAGAATTGTCACTACTGAAACACATATTTTCAGCAATTAAGTAAACTTTGCGTTTGATGAAAAAACATTATGATTTTTGGAGTGGGAGGGGCTTCTTAATTAGCTGACTATTAGAATCAGGTGTGTTAAGACAAGGAGAAACACCAAACTATAGCTGTGTCCCGATTCAGGGGCTGCATTTGAAGGCCGACTGGGTCACAGCGGTGCGACAAGACTGTCCCATTTCGAAGGCTCCTTCATACGCAGCCGAGAAATGTGTCCTTTTCCATGGCAACAAAGGATCCAACGGGTGGATCGTTTGCCACCCAACATATCCCGAGGTTCATTGCATGCCGGCAAGAATTCGAGAACATGGCGGCACCAGCAGAGGAACGAACGGCGGCTGAGAAGACACTTTTAAATGTAAGCATTGGGTTTAAACTGAGTCGAATAGCTAACAATGCAAATATTTTAAAAAAAGCCAAGCTGCGTTTCATGACGCAACAGTAAGGGCAGGAACAGCAGTGCTGCGTCACAAACATCTGCCATAGAGCAGACTGTCTCATTTCGGTTCAGCCTTCGCGGGTCTGCGCAGCCTTTGAAGGACACGCCTTCGTAGACCGCATCCTTCGAAGGATGCAGCCCCTGAATTGGAACACACCTTACGCAGTGCAGAGGTGCTCCAGAACCAAGGCTTCAAAGTTTAGACCACAAAAAACAAACCTGTGAGGTCCCACCAGGAGGGGTCGCCGCTGGCTAGCTTGCTCACTCCTGTACAAAGCACAAGCCTGAAGAACAGCCAGCGGGTCAACCAAAAGGTCACAGGGTCACTGTGGCCGGACGAGGAGATTCTTCGCAGTAAGGCACACGGGGCTACCAGGACGGCCAGAAACCCCGCCTCCAACAGCAGGTTGTCCCTGAGAGACGAGGAGCAGAACAGAGGAGAGACAAACATTGTCAGTTTTCTCTCAGTCGTCACAGGTGAAAGTAAAAACTGGCCTAAAACCTAAACGACATCGAAGCAGGTCAGGCCTGTTATTTTGGTAACCCTGGCAACCTGACTTAATGAATAAACGTGATGACGGCATCTTACAAGCACTTAGTCAGAACAGCTAAGAACGTGCAAGCACAGGCAAGTTTTTCATGCCTGTTACTCTTGCACACAGCCTGAAACTGCTGCAGCTGTTGATCATTTGACTTGCAAATGTACCTCAATGGATTTCAAAAGGATTAGTGAGATTACAACTGGTATCTAAACCATGGCTGGTGGACGCACCAATGCACAGGAGCCGTCCAAATACAAAGCTACAGGACTTACCACTCAGAGTGAAGGAAGTCTCCCCCAACCTACACAAAAACAGTACAAACATTTAATCAGTCAACAGCAATGATGGAGCTACACTTCACTAAGATTACCGCCGTACACAATACCCCCACTTTGAATACTGCTAGTGTCACTGCTTTGCATATTTTATGGTACATAACAGCAAAAGCTGTTTACAACTATAAAACTATACAGCCAAGCAACACGTTCAAACTACTTAACGTTTTAAGCTCTTATGCTTGTGGGTATATTTCGGTTTTTCCATCTGAATTTACCTGCCCGAATTCTAAGGCAAATTATTCAGTAACTGCATGAAAATAAATCTGTTTTTTCCCCCTTAAAATTAACAGAACATGTTGTATATGATCATAAACATAAAGCTAAATGCTTACAATCTACTTTGCTCCTGAACTCTGGCTCATCGTTAGCCACGTTTACATGCAACCTAATAATCCGTTAATAATCAGACTAACAGCTCAATCGGAATAGAATACATCCATGTATACACTTCAGTTGGAATAAACTAGTCAGATTGAGGCCATTCAGAATACAATTTCCATCTGATTGAGCGAGGTGGGTAATCTTCTAAAAAATCCATTAAATAGAAGAATAATAAACGTGTAAACACCAAAAATCTTAGACTTTTTTGTATTATTTTATAAAAATAATTTTTACAGAGCAGATCACTGAAGAGACGCCATCTGAGATCCAGTTTCTAGCTCAGATTTGTGGAAAAATGGGTCGACTTTCAGTAGAAAAAAAATTGTGAGGTCAGCTTCTTTTATTATAAAGTTTTAAAATTACATCGCCCATCTATTTGACTAGAAAGAAGACAGTTACAGCTCTCATATGACCCCCACCTTCTGAATGAAGCTTATGAAATATGAAAGTTATGAAGTAAAGAACATGACGAAGTGCGTTTTGGAACGTGGTTCCAAGGAGGTTAACTGGGATTTCAAGCTCTGAACAGTATCATACTGATACTGAGAAATACTGAGAAAGATAGTGAAAAAGGCAAAAAAAGTTGGGGCAACGAAGTGAAATGGGTTATTTTGGTTATATATTCATAAAAAAATTGTAGTCCAGATGAAAAGATCAGCATGAAAGCACAGAATGCCAGCTTTTATTTCTGGCCACAAATCATAAACAATACAGCAATTTAAAGTAAAATAAAGTTGTTTAAAAGTTAAGATTTAGTCCCAAACTCTTATGCAATACCTGCCTCAAGTCTGCAATTCCATGACATCACCAGACTCTTGATAACTTCATTTGATATGCTCTGCCAGGCCTTTATGGCAGCCTCTTTCAGTATGTTCTTATTTTGGGGATGCTCTGGTTCATTTTCCTCTTTAACAGGTGAAATACACGCTCATTTGGGTTCTGTACTGCATTATGTACTCCTGCCCACTGAGGCATTTGTGTGGACATGGGAATTCATTCTGCTGGTAACAGCAGCTGTTACATCATCAATGAAGAGCGGTGAGCCAGTTCCAGAAGCAGCTATCCAAGCCCAAGCCACGACACCGTCTCCTCCAACCGTCACAGATGAAGAGGTGTGCTTAGGATAATTTGCAGACCCTCTCTTTCTCCATCACTTCCATAAAAGATTCATGTTTACCTCATCTGTCCTTAAAAACTTTGCTCCTGACGAAGGTTACGCTCTGATCTTTAAAAGACGGTGGTGGGACGGACGTCCAGCTTATGTGTCTCAGAACACGACGTCTTCCTCTCGGCCTTCTTTAATAAGGACATGTGAAGGACGTTTTCCTGAGTCTGACATCATTTTAAAGTGATTAAAAACAGAAGCACTGCTCACTGCTGCTCATCTCACTCTGACTGGACTCACATGATGATCGCTGTCATGGTAACGTCTACACTCAGTGTTTCTCTACTCATGTATGTAAATTTGGATCGGATTACTTGTAGTGAGCATGTAAATGAAGATTTATCAGATTGTTGAGTAGAGTGGGCATAAACACCTCAGTCTTAATCTATAATCGGAATAATATATTAAATCAGATTGGCAAAAATCTTTGCATGTAAACACAGCCATTGTGCTTCATTGTGAATTCCAGCCTTCTGTTCTTGGTGCTGATGAGAGATCTTGTATTGTAGCTTCATTATTACTAACACTTTCTTCTGAAACACTGAGTGTGTTTACATGCACTCCTAATTCTAAATATTTCTGCAGTTATCCGATCATTCAAATGGCCACGTAAACACCATGCTCTGATCTAGAAATCCGATTAAGAAATCTGATAAAGAGAGCTGGATTTTAGCTCAGTAATCAGATTTCTCAGTGCATGTAAACTCTTACTCTGACTTCTATCGGATTTCTCAGTCTGCGCATGTGCAAGAACAGATTGTGGATGTTGCGAGACGCAGCAAAACACTGCTGGAGCGGCGCTAAAACCAACCACGAAATAAAGGGTTTGAATATTCTTCATCTTCTAGATGATGTATGTTCATAGTTTCAGGTAAAGTGGTGCAATACTTTAAAAAAAGCTACAGTATGAAGTTTGAGTTTTACGTTTTGTTCACGTCACGTCTTCTTCTGTGAGTTAATCGGCTGGTTGCACAGCAGAAATCCGATTACTGTCTGACTCATGCAGACCTGGAGTCTCCCATTATCTGATTACTCAAGTGCATGTAAACGTGTTGATCGGATTACTGACAAAATCTGATTTTCTGCAGTTATTGGATTACTGAGCGCATGTAAACACACACTCTGACACGTTCACCTCTGAACTCTGTATACCGTCTTATTTCTCTGGATGTTGTTTTTGGGTTTTTCTTCACAGCTCTAACAATATTCCTGTCATAAGCTGCTATGGTCTTCCTGGAATGGCCTGCTAGTCGCAAATTGCTTTTCTATGATTAAAGTATTGCATACTGTTTTTGGAATGCCGAGCTGTTTCCCTATGGATTTGCTTTAATCTCAAGTTCAAAGCTGCTTGCTTGTCCATTAGCCCTAATGCAAACTCCATTGACTACAACTATCCCTACACATGCACAGCAACACCTAAGTAATCAGAATCTCCTGTCATTCATTTGTCCCAGTACTTATGGCTCAGCTGAAACTGCTGGATTTCAGTTGGAAAAAAAAAGTATGATTTACTTGGTATGGAAAACAATGCCCAGAAATAAACAGTGTCTCTCTGTTTTAGTCTCATCTTTTGATCTGGAATACACATTTAATGAATTTATAACAAAAATAACCCATCAGTATAAAACTGTTGGCAATAATCATTCAGTTCAGTATTAGAATGTGACTACTGTACAGCTAAAGTCGCATGAAGTTGATATGGTGATGCATGAATTGGACCAGACCACCTTCTAAGCCCCAGATGAACTGCAAAGATCATAATTTTCACTGCAGTGCTGCTCATCACGTCTATAGAGAAAGAGAGAATGTGAGAGAGAGAGATACTCACAGTGTACAGGGAGAGGTAAAGGGCCCAGAGGCAGAGGTAGACCAGGCTGTCTCTGAGCGCTCCCAGCAGTACGGCTCCCAGGCTCAGCAGCACCCCCAGCAGGCTAATGATTTCCAAGGCCTGCTGGGGCTCGAGGCCCAGGGTTGGCCCCAGCCACAGGAGGGACGGGGAGGCCTGCAGCTGCTCCAGCAGAGGACTCTGCACACCGGCCACCTGGAGACGCACAGGCACTAAGCCTTCATCCCCAAAAAGACCTGCAACAGACACAACAGCTTTATGTAGACCCAACACAGAACTTATAAACTTGACAATTTCAGCTGGTAACTAAAGACACTGGGTTGGGCTGCAGAATGTATTTTAATCAGTATCCTGTGATACTGTTATCACAGAAAGCTGTAATATGCAAATGAGTCTCTAACAAATTATAGATTTTTTATTATGTACTTTGAGTGTTGAGCATGCTGACCAACCTCAGATGGTCCAGATTTGTTTTCTGGGTGTGGGAACGTTGTTCACAATCAAGCAAATTACTGAAAAATTTGTATCTCCATTCTTTATGTTTTCCAGTTTTTGACATAATCTGAAAATGTCCGTTACCCTTTACAGTGTGCGTACATTTCATGATGAATGGATTTAAAGAAATGACCCAAAATGACTTGGAAAAAAGTCTGGTTCCATTGACTTGCATTAAAAGTAAAGTAGGTTTTTTCCTTCTCCTGTAAAGTTCCACTTTGGAGATACAAGGTTTTGTTCCGACATCAGCGAAATGTGAATTATTAGGGATGCATCAATAAGGGAAGCTGTGGGCTGATGCAATTCCAATTGATGCCGAAATCCAATATTTCTCATATATCTGTCGATGATGATATGTAAATATTTATAAAATGCAGAAATAAACGTTCTGCTCTTCCCGAGTACAATAAACATGAGTAAAACGGATCACAAAACTTACGGTTCGGAAGGTCACAGCCTTGTAAATTAGACGGAGCGACTGAATAATGTCTAATAAAATTAAAACTGAAGCTTGTGATTTTAAAGTTGCAATTTTTCAAACTGCACTTTTGGTATAAAAAGGATTAATAGACGTCTGAATTTATGCATCATTCTGTAGTCGGCGTCATACCCATTCAGAAAATGGCAGAAAAAATGGGATTTTCAAAATTGCTGCTATCGCGCCCCACGATAAACAAAAAAGTTTCCAAATCTGATACATTTTCTCCTGCATACATTTTTCCACTGAATGTTACTGGATCTTTTGAATTAGGACTGAAAAATTAATCGTTTTAATATCGAAATTGCAAGAGAGCTACATTACCAACACTGTTGTCTTGAGTTCGAAATGCGTAAAGTTAACCTAATAACATCGAGCTTGTGAGCTGCCTGTAGATGAGATAGACCAATCAGAAGCAACCAAACTCCATGGTTTGCGACATCAAAACCACAACTTACTGGCAGTTTGCCAAACTACTTTCAGGGTTCAAGCCTCAAGCTAGAAAATGTGGATATTCTGGTCATCTTGGCCAAAAAACCTGGCCTGGACATTAATTTACAGAAAATAACCACAGCTTAAATCGCAGTCGCTATATTAGCCAGAAAAAACACAACTAGAAATTTTTCCCAAATCGTTCATCCCTACTCAATCATGAGACTGTGAAGGCTGTAATATGAACACTGTTACATCAATGCTCAGAGCAAACTAACACTCCTGCGCACTGACATGACACTGCATGAGAGTAAGCCTACTATTGAACTTCAGCACTTACATAATAACACCAGCTACCCTAATGTACTTCACTACTGCCAAAGCATTTTAATTACCAGACTTGACAAAGCTTGCTGGATTGTTTGGGGTATTTTGGTGAGGTTGCCAGACTTATGAAGTCAACTGAGTGAGCATGGAGTAAAACTCAGAATTCAACTCCTTAATGACTTCATAGTTCAGAAGGTCCAGCAAAGTTCTGAGAAAAACAGTCCAAACAGCAAAACGTACCGGATTTGGAATATTTTCGCTCACCAACAGCTGATCTTATAGATTGCTGATTTTAGAAAACGCCATTCATTTTTGTCTCAGGCAAATCCAGCTTGACCTCTTCAACTCCTTGAGACCACCGGTGGTCCAAAAACGCACTTCGTCATATTCTTCATAACTTTCATATTTCATAAGCTACATTCAGAAGGTGGGGGTCATATGAGAGCTGTAACTCTCTTCTCTCCAGTCAAATAGATGGGTGATGTAATTTTAAACCCTGATAATAAAAGAAGCTGAACTCAAATTTTTGTCTACTGAAAGTCGACCCATTTTTCCACAAATCTGGGCTGTAAACTATAAACAGATGGCGTCTCTTCAGTGATCTGATCTGTAAAAATTATTTTTATAAAAAAAATACAAAGAGCGTCTAAGATTTTTGGCTTTCAGCAGTAAATTGTAAGCATATTGAAATATGTGTATGATCACAAAACACATGTTCTGCTAATTTGAGGGGAACTTTCAAAATAAATAAATAAATAAATAATAACTGTCTCAGGTTAATCGCTAAAAACGCACAGTTGACAACAGAAAAAGAAACCATTCTTCCACATTTTTGGCAGCAGAGTGTCACTGCAGTAGTGAGCCTTTTATGGGGTGTGTGTTCAGCAGCCTGGTAACGGTGCAGGATCACAGTGAATACTGTGCCAAGGCCAAATGTGTGAGTCATGGCATTTTCATTCAGCTCTTTTTCTCTCTCTGACCTACTCTCTCTCTTTCTCTCTCACTCTCTCTGGCACAGGATCTTGCTTTGCCTTAAGCTACTCCACCCAAGAAAGAGGAACGTATAATCAGAGCGGAAGACTTTAAGGCCTCGAAAGAATGAAGAATGACTGTAAAGTGAGCTCTGAATTAGAGAAATCTATTAAGATGTCTGATTACTTGACTGCAGCTGTGCCAGTGTTCTTCCCCACAGCAGCTTCACACGTACGCCTTAATGTAAATCCCTGCCAATATATGACAACAGTTTATCACACAGAGATAAACTATGTCATAATATGCCATAAGCTTTTCATGGATATTATTAGTACTTAAAGAACACTGGCCTGCATGTTTCATTACAAAGAGAGCAAATTCTGTTTCACTGGATTTAGTGCAGCACAGTGGGGTTGATCAATTTGGGGAAAATGTCAAGAGTGATATTGTGACAGCGAATCAAATTGCAATTATTTTCTATAATTTAAGGTCCACTGGCCAATTGCATAAAATATCTTTATGATGAATTTTGTGAATTTATGTTTTTGTTTTACCCTAAGTAAGCTGTGTAAAAAAATCCATCATTTTAAATTAAATTAAACTGAGTTTCTCAGTTTAAGTTTCAGCACTTTTTAAAAGTTGCAAAGTTTACATTCAATTTTCAGCTTAAACTGTATCATTTAAGCATTTAACTTAATATAAATACCTAAAATGTTTTGTGCAAAGGGTCACAGGCCTGGTTTTTAGCCAAGAAGGACAGCACATTCACTCTTTTCTGGCCTGAATGCTCGACATGCAGTGTTAGAAGGCCAGTTTGTTGTGGTTGTGTTGTCATGTTCACAACACACAAGATTTGGATGCTTTAAACTTAATACAATACAGCTGATAATGTGAATTGCACTCATTCAAATTGTGATTTTGATATAAAAATGATTAATCTTTCAACCCTATAGCACAATATGTGAAATACTGAATAACAACCACAGGTTGTGATAATATTTTTTGAAATTTAAAGCTTATTAAACCTCAAAAAATTCATATTGTGATGCACATCATGTATTGTTAGATAGCTTAAAGTATCGTGATACTATATTTCTGCCAGCTTTTATTTTTATGCTTAAAAACAATCCAAGACTTATTTTGACAAAATGTGCATGCCTTCTGAATATTATTAATTGATTATAATCAATTCTGACATTCCAAAATAAATGCAGTTGATTAACCATCTACACCCCTGAAGCACACAGCAGTCTGGCCCAATCCGAAAGAAGCGGCAACCTTTGTCCACAATGATTAGATCAGTCCAAACCGAGTCACTGATCTGTATTAGGCCCGATCCACGTCTTGAAACGCAAACCAAACCCCTCACGTTGTCGCAAGAGGAGATGTGTTTATTTTGATTTCCTCTTCACCAACAACTACCCGCCACACGAAAAACCGCAGAAAGCAACCAGACAGGAATGGCAGCCTCACCAACGTACGAGTGAGGCGCTACAAATCTGAGTCACTGTATCATCCTTGAGCTTGCTGATGAGCCTCAGGCAACTACAGCGCAGTTACGCAAACCACAGGTCATTTATATGTAGGTCTCCCACACAGAAGACAATATAGGTACATATACATTCTCGTATATGTACAAACAGGGGTGGGTGATACAGTAAAAACAGAACAGGGCAATTTGACGAGATTTTCACTACACTTTAATTTATCTACTATTACTATCAGTATGTTTTTGTGTGTGAGACCTAAACATCAAACTGGACTTTCTTCTGAGGCTGTATGTGTGACATTAATGCGTACATTCTGCAATCTGACTCCTCTGACTTTTAAACTGTTATTTCAGGATTTACAGCAGGGGTGTCAAACTCAATCCCTAACAGGGCCATATTAAAAAATCTCACCAAATCTGTGGGTCAGCTGTGTTTTTCTTTTGTTTTCACTTAACATTTTGCCACGAGCCCAACTGGCCATTGTTTATTCAAAATGTGCCAAAACTACAACAGCAAAAAAATAGGCACTTAATCTTTGGATGATTCAAAAATAGTTTTAAATAAAAACAAATTGTTTAATATAAAACATTCGCTGCAGATTAACTGTTAAACCTCTTTTAATGTCCCCAGGAGGAAGGTTTTTAAAACTGCCTATTTGCTTGGTGCTTTGTGTGACCGCTGGCCCATATTGCTGTTGGGGGGAAGGGGGTCAGAGCACACATTGTGTTGCAGTGCATGCTGGGAACTGTAGTGCAGCTCATGTTGAAACAAGCTAATATTAACAGAGAATTAAAATAATTTTGCGGGCAGAATAGGATTGTGCCACGGGCCTGATTTGGCCCACGGGCCACACATGGGCTTTACAAGGAGACTAAGTGATGCTATTTCCTTCACTTTTCACAAACAACATCAACTTTTATGGACATTTAGATTCCAAATGTGTTCATAATATATTCAAAATGATAGCTAAACGTTTTAAATGAAATGTGGGGGGAGGGGGCGTGACTTGGGTCTGCGGTCGCCGCTGGCGCTGGTTTTCATTTGCATATTGGCATCCCCTGCATGAATACTGTGTTCAGTGCGTGTCTGTTACTTGACTTTGCTGTGTTAATTACAGTCATTGTGTTATGTTATGTTGCTGTGCTACAGAGATCATTTTCCTCAGGCAATTTTTTTTATCTGGAGTCACTCCCACACCATCGCTGTGACGCCTGGTTTGTGCAAGTAAAATGCTAAAATAGAACCCAGCTAGGGCTGGGCAATATGACAATATACATCATTGTCATAAATTATCATACTTTTCTGAAAATATCTTTGATATCATCAGTACCTAAAAAAAAAATTGCAATATTATATTTTTGCCATATCGCCAACCTCTAAACTTGATTTAATCCTGTAATCCTGTAACCAAAACCAAATTCCTTGTATGTGTATGCATACCTGGCCAATAAAGCTTGATTCTGATTCTGATTTACAAATTATCACCAAAAATGAGGGAAAGCTTAGGCTCAGATTAACAGTACTGAACGTAGAGCTAATTTTCATATTTTCTTTTAATATGGAGAGTCACGATTTACTGCTAGCAGCAACAATTTAAGTGCATTATGTTGCTACCATGGTTAGTAGTGAAAAAGTAATGATGGCTGAATATCATCCTAAATGTATCCAGTAATATATTTCATTACAGTACATAAAAAGCAACATTTTCAGAATATATTTCGAATTTATATTGATAAAAACCTTTTATATTGGAAAAACCCTTTTCTCTTACTTTCACACAGTTTCTGGTCGGCAGTTTTCTTAATACAATTCCTGTCTTGATATATTTCAGGAAAAATTCACTTATCATTTAAACTAAGTTCTGAAATTCTCAACAGTTTTTCTCTCTTACTGCCTGCTTCAGTTCACTGCTGCGCCCACAATCCGAGCAGGAGTTTTTATTGTATTATTATATCTCAAAAGATCTCAGCAATGCAGAGATTAATAAGCGATCATGAGTTTGGTTTATCAGTCCACTCAGTCTTTAGCAGAGCTCAGTAACACTGAGATTAATAACTGATCACATTGATTTATCAGTCTACTCAGGCTTTAGCAGAGCTCAGTAACACTGAGATTAATAACTGATCACATTGATTTATCAGTCTACTCAGACTTTAGCAGAGCTCAGTGACACTGAGATTAATAACTGATCACATTGATTTATCAGTCTACTCAGACTTTAGCAGAGCTCAGTAACACTGAGATTAATAACTGATCACATTGATTTATCAGTCTACTCAGACTTTAGCAGAGCTCAGTAACACAGATTAATAACTGATCGCATTGATTTATCAGTCTACTCAGACTTTAGCAGAGCTCAGTAACACAGATTAATAACTGATCACATTGATTTATCAGTCTACTCAGGCTTTAGCAGAGCTCAGAAACACAGATTAATAACTGATCACATTGATTTATCAGTCTACTCAGGCTTTAGCAGAGCTCAGTAACACAGATTAATAACTGATCACGTTGATTTATCAGTCTACTCAGGCTTTAGCAGAGCTCAGTAACACTGAGATTAATAACTGATCAACACATTGATTTATCAGTCTACTCAGGCTATAGCAGAGCTCAGTAACACTGAGATTAATAACTGATCATCACATTGATTTATCAGTCTACTCAGGCTTTAGCAGAGCTCAGTAACACTGAGATTAATAACTGATCACATTGATTTATTAGTCCACTCAGGCTTTAACAGGAACGCCAGTGTTTGTGAAGAGGCTGTGAACTGAGGCCCTCCTTTGCTACACTGTAAAAAACAAACCTGGGTGTTAAAACCTAGTTAATGAGTTTCCTTTAAAATTCTGCATTAAATTAAACTTTGAATAGTAAGTTATCAGAACAAGACTCTGGGTTTTATGCCCTGCCAACTTACTACGTGACCTTCAAACAACTGAAAATGTAGACGCAGCCCAGTAACTAATCCCGTTTTTATTATTTTAAAATCAGTACACACCGTGCGCTGATTTAAAATAATTCATCAATAAGTATTAATGGTGTTTCTTTTAAAGATCGTTTATATATTTTTATTTTAATCTGTAAGTATTCTACATTTGTAAAAAGATGGTTCTTCAAGGGTTCTTTACTAAAGACAATGGTTCTTCAGATTGATGAAGAATGTGTTGTATGGTTCTATATAGACAAGCCTGGCATCGTAACAACAGCAGAACCCTTTGGTGCTATATAGAACCATATCCAACACTCTCCATCAGTCTGAAGCACCATTTAGGCATGCAAATGGTTCGTTACATGTTCCTGGTTCTGTATAGAACCACTGGGCCTTATTCACCAGCATCTTCCTAAGTTTTTTCTTAAATTTGTTCTTGAGAAAGGTTCTAAGGAAAGGTCTACATCAGATTCATGACGTGTTCTTAAACCGCAGAACTGTATTCTGAACACTGCCTTTACTAAATGTATCGTGGATTAAATACAGACAGTTAATGTCTGTAATCTCGGTACTTGTAATCCGTTACATCCCAGCCCTGGTTGCTAACTGACTGATGCGGAGTCCCCACATCTGCCTGTAATTACAGCCCAGTGGAGGAGCGTCTGATGACGAACGTGGACACGGAGAGTGATGACGGGTCACTTTTGTGCTGGAGGGAGAGATGCTGAGCCCATCTGGCTAAAGTTTCACACTAAAATCCTCCCATTTGCTGAATCAGACAGACTCTGCTCCAACTTCACCACTACCGCTTTCGATCAGATGGATTGCGGTCTGCAAAGCGAAGCTTCCTGTTCGAATCTACCCGGTCCACCTTAAGTAGTACATTCTAGCGCCTGCACATCAGACGCGAAAATGTAACTACTGCACCATTTAAGGTGGAACGGAGAAACTCGAACAAGAAGACGCCAGAATGTAACTGTTGCAACATTTAAGGTGGAGCTGGATTCGAACAAGAAAGCACCAGTATGTAACGGCTACGCTATTTAAGGTGGAACGGTGAAATTCGAACACGAAGGCACCACTACGTAACTACTACACCAATTAAGGTGGAACGGGGAAATTAGAACAAGAAGGGACCAGAATGTAACTGCTGCACAATTTAAGGTGGAACTATGAATTTCGAACAAGGCACCAGAATTAACGTTAACTGCTACACCATTTAACGTTAAGGTGGAACTGGAAACTAGAAGACGCCAGAATGTGTATGCTTCACCATTTAAGGTGGAACGGTGAAATTATAACACGAAGGCTCAAGTTTGTAACTGCCGCACCATTTAAGGTGGAACTGGAAGTTTCAAACTAACTACAAGACGCCAGAATGTATCCGCTGCACCCTTTAAGGTGGAACTGGAAAATTTGAACAAGAAGGCGCCAGAATGTAACCGCTGCACCATTTAAGGTGGAACGGGGAAATTCGTACAAGACGCTGGCGAATAGGAAGCCAACTTCAGCCTCGCGTTTGCAAAACTCGTCAAGCCAAGTTAGTCACTGCATGGCAGCCTAACAGGGCTGATTTCGTTCCGATTGGCTAAACGTGCAGAGCTTTTGGCTGCCAGATGGTCAGAGTTTGAGCGCTGGCATCAACGCAGAGTGCGTAACTGCCACGAGGAGAGTAACGTAGAAACTTCAGCTACTTTTTCTCAAACGTTCAGGTCCTCACCAGCCGCCCACCGGCCCCAGTCGACTGAATGAGCCGTGCGGGGTCACCTTAACGCACGGCGCTTTGTATGAAATGCATATGAAGAGCGAGAGAACTTGGACGTGAACTTTTCCAGCAGGACCCTGTCTGGCTGCGCTGTGAGCGCCGCGCCCAAACTGCGCTACCGTCCTGTGAAATAAGCAGAAGTAACACTTCCTACCTGGCGCTTGGATGTAGATGGATGCAAAGGCGAATAAATACACGACGGATAAGCTCCACAGAAAGATCTGTGTTGGGACTCGGACTTCCCCCATTTTCCCCTCTAGGCTAGTGTGGAAAAGCGCGCTGACAGTTTCCCCTCAGAGGCGCAGGAGTCAGTGTGTGAGCGGGAGTTTGAGCTCGGAGGAGGAAAAACGAGGCCAGTGGGAAGAGCAGAGGGGGCGGGGCTTATTCTGCACATGGAGCACATGCGCCTGCAAAGCAGTAACGAAAGCAGTAGCGTAGTGCTTTCAAGCTTAAAAGCCACTGTTTTAACACTTTTTGATTACCCTTTTAAACCGGACGAGAGTTTATAATAAACTTGATCATAGTAATAGCTACCTTTTTACACATAAGATCAAAGGTACCAGAAAAATACCTTCACATGTGACCTTCGTGCACACAGATCTATGTAATTATATGCATATTTGTAAACCCGTTGTTGTGTTAAAGTTCTTCACTTTTATCCAAATCCCAAATGGTATTCTTTTTTGTCTGTTTTTTTTTTCTTCTGTTTTTTTCCCCTCTGAAATTCAGTTTGATATGTGAATGTTGAGCTTTAATGTGCCCTTCTGTTATTGTATAAATAGTAATTCGCAAAAGGTTACTTTTAAGCGGAGTCGTTCACATGTCTGACTCGTGGAACGATTCATTCGTTGGAACCGACTCGTCAAGGCCAACTGGATCAAATCGTTTGTGCTACGAAGTCGAAACCATAATAAAATTCGAATGCATGTTTTTTTTTTTTTTTGCAATTTAATCCAAAACACAGGATTAAACTCGACAAAACTATATTTTAATTTCGTCAATCGGACGCTCGGTTCTAACAAAAACGCGCAGTTCGAACGAATCGGTTCACTGAACCGAATCGAACTTCCTATCACTGCTAACGTAGCTTTACGCGGATGGGCAATTTGTCAGACAGCCGGCGTCGTCTAGACATGCGGAGGTCAGTCAAGGTCATTTCTGCCGTCTGAAGCTTTGAGACCTAAAATTTCACTTTCCTTACACACCTCTGAGGAGAAACTACAGAATAAGAGTCATGAAAAGAGCACCATTTCAGTCCACAAGATTCATCATATAAGAAAAAACCTTTATTATGTAACATTTTGTCCTGGACCCTCTAATTAACCTTTTGGACCCCCTGAATGTCTCATAATGAAATTTCTGAGGGGTCCCTGAAAATAAACTTATCATGACGTTGGTCAAATACGAATTCAGGGAAAGGTCATGGTTTGCTCAGGGGTGTCAACCAGTAAAAGGGCCATATTAAAAAATCTCATTAAATCTGTGGGCGATTTGAAAGAAAAAATGTTTTTTATTTCATTTTTAATTAATGTTGTGCTGTAACCCGAACTGGCCATTGTTTATTCAAAACATGCAAAAACCTCAAAAGTAAAATACAGACACTTGTAGTAGATCTTGAAATATTACATGAATACTTGAAATATTAAAAAATTAAATGTCCCCAGGCTGTAGATCTTTTAAACCTACCTGTGTGCTTGAACTAGACACTTGGCACCTTTCTTTGCTGCAAGTTCCTTAATACTTGGGCTCCACTTCTGAGCTGTTGAGCTGATGTTAAGTGTTTATGTTGGTTGAACTGCAGCTGAAATGCATTTTGGTCATATGACTGGTGTGGAATTGTGTAGAATTGTGTAGAACTGCTGTTCCATAGACTGTTATTGGGGTAGGAGAGTCAGAGCTCACACTATGTTGCAGTGCATGCTGGGGAATGTAGTGCAGCACATTGTGAATTAATAGAAAATTAAAATACTTTTGCAGGCCGGATAGGATTGCGTGGCGGGCCTGATCTGCCTGTGGGCCTTGTGTTTGACACATGGGGTTTAGCTGCTTCACCCACAAAAAGAGCTTCTGTCTTTGGTATTATTAAATAACTGGAGTTATTAACTAAGCAGCACTGTTCTGCCTCAGGCTGGCATTGTAGCAAATTGGTTCACCCAGTTGGTCCTTTCTTAGCCTAGCAACTGTAACTATGCCTGGGATACATAGCTGGCGCATCAGCAGCAAAACCTCCCCTCTTCAGGAAGCAGCCGCCGGGCCAACCTTATACATTATACATATATACAATGGTGTGAAAAAGTGTTTGCCCCCTTCCTGATTTCTTATTCTTTTGCATGTTTGTCACACTTAAATGTTTCAGATCACCAAACAAATTTAAATATTAGACAAAGATAACACAAGTAAACACAAAATGCAGTTTATAAATGAAGGTCTTTATTATTAAGGGAAAAAGAAATCCAAACCTACAGGGCCCTGCGTGAAAAAGTGATTGCCCCCCCCCCCCATTAAAACATAAATTAACTGTGGTTTATCACATCTTTGGAAAGCTGAGTTCAATTTCCCTAGCCACACCCAGGCCTGATTACTGCCTGTTCTCAATCAAGAAATCACTTAAATAGGACCTGCCTGACAAAGTGAAGTAGACCAAAAGATCCTCAAAAGCTAGCCATCATGCTGTGATCCAAAGAAATTCAGGAACAAATGAGAAACAAAGTAATTGAGATGTATCAGTCTGGAAAAGGTTATAAAGCCATTTCTAAAGCTTTGGGACTCCAGCAAACCACAGTGAGAGCCATTATCTACAAATGGTGAAAACATGGAACAGTGGCGAACCTTCCCAGGAGTGGCCGGCCGACCAAAATTACCCCAAGAGCGCAGCGACGACTCATCCAAGAGGTCACAAAAGACACCACAACAACATCCAAAGAACTGCAGGCCTCACTTGGCTCAGTAAAGGTCAGTGTTCATGACTCCACCATAAGAAAGAGACTGGGCAAAAATGGCCTGCACAGCAGAGTTCCAAGACAAAAACCACTGCTGTGCAAAAAGAACATAAAGGCTCGTCTCAGTTTTGCCAGAAAACATGTTGATGATCCCCAAGACTTTTGGGAGAATACTCTGTGGACTGACGAGACAAAAGTTGAACTTTTTGGAAGGTGTATGTCCCATTACATCTGGCGTAGAAGTACTACAGCATTTCAGAAAAGGAACATACCAACAGTAAAATATGGTGGTGGTAGTGTGATGATCTGGGGCTGTTTTGCTGCTTCAGGACCTGGAAGACTTGCTGTGGTAAATGGAACCATGAATTCTGCTGTCTACTAAAAAATCCTGAAGGAGAATGTCCAGCCATCTGTTTGTGACCTCAAGCTGAAGCGCACTCGGGTTCTGCAACAGGACAATGATCCAAAACACACCAGCAAGTCCACCTCTGAATGGCTTAAGAAAAACAAAATTAAGACTTTGGAGTGGCCTAGTCAAAGTCCTGACCTGAATCAATGATGCTGTGGCATGACCTTAAAAAGGCGGTTCATGCTCGAAAACCCTCCAATGTGGCTGAATTACAATAATTCTGCAAAGATGATTCGGCCAAAATTCCTCCACAGCGCTGTAAAAGACTCATTGCCAGTTATCGCAAACGCTTGATTGCAGTTGTTGCTGCTGAGGGTGGCCCAACCAGTTATTAGGTTTAGGGGGCAATCACTTTTTCACACAGGGCCCTGTAGGTTTGGATTTCTTTTTCCCTTAATAATAAAGACCTTCATTTATAAACTGCATTTTGTGTTTACTTGTGTTATCTTTGTCTAATATTTAAATTTGTTTGGTGATCTGAAACATTTAAGTGTGACAAACATGCAAAAGAATAAGAAATCAGGAAGGGGGCAAACACTTTTTCACACCACTGTATACTTAGACAGTGTGGTGTCAATGTATAAAAGATACAGGAAACATTGCACTTTAAAGGTAAATGCACAGGCAGCAAGAGAGAACTGCCGCTCAGCACTCAATGACACGGATGAGAAATAGGCAAGTCACTTCTAGCCACACATCTTTACTTTATGGTAGGCACTAACACTGACACTACTATCCCACAGCCCAACATAGTAAAGCATGAGCAACACCTCAGCACCTCATTAAGCTAACAACAAATTAGTTAAGAGGAATATCTCTCCTATCATGGGTGCAGGTCAATATTCTTAATAATTTTATTAACAGGAATCACATATGTGGACACTTTGTGGAGTAGATTGAAAATAATCATGTAATGTTGATACAAATAGAAAGTAGTGCAGTTAACTGATAGGCTAGCTGCTTCACTAAACACTGCTGCATAACTCTTGGTGCAGCTCAGTGTACACACAGTTTAATATTCACACTTCTACAACTGTCCTGTATTTAAGCTTGTAATGATAAAGTATGACTGCTGTGGGAGATTTAGTGGGAAATATTATCACTAATTTAAGATGTGTAACTTTTTTCAATAACCATTTTGCTACCTTAAAAAAATGATCTTGCGTAATTTCAAAAAGAGAGCGTGTGAGCGTGTGTGTGGGAGGGGGGGGTTAAAATAGTATGCCCATTATTTCCTGGAATTATTTATAAACTGCTTTGCAAAAGAGACTTTTAATAGTAAGAATCCTTGGTGTTTTTTTAGACCAGACTAATATGGTCTTCAAAGAAGAAACAGCCACCATACGAGAGAAAAGCAAATATGTATACAAATATATGAAACAGGCATTTTTTGGTTACTGTGCCTTTAAGACTGATATATGTTAATGATCTATATTTTGATTGGCTGTGCTGTCCTGTGCCTGAGCTTGAAACATCCTTCAGTGTGTTAACTAACTTGAACCTAACTTCAGTGTGACGCTCAGCTAAAGAGAATACACCAAAATAGTTTTCCGGTTTTCAGTCATATTTCTAGCAATTAGTCAAAACTAGTCTGCGGGCTATGAATGATAAAAATAAAATAACAGAATACATGATATGTATCACAATACTTTGTTTTTCTGAGGTTTGATAAATTGGAATAGACAAAATACACCAGTAGTGCCACCATTTAGGATCTTTAGGATTTTTCAGTATGTTACAAGAACGTCCAGGGATCTCAGAGTTAGACATGTACAGTTTAAGATCCCGCACTGACTCTACTGGGTAGCAGTGAATTTAAGGTATCAGTAAATTTGAGGTGGCAGTGAATTTAACATGGTAGTGTTTTTAAGGTATCAGTAAATTTAAGGTTGTAGTAAATTTAAAATATCTGTGAAATTAATGTGGCAGTGTATTTAAGGTATGAGTAAATTTAAAGTGGCAGTGTATTTAAGGTGGCAGTGAATTTAAGGTGGCACTGTATTTAAGTTACCAGTAAATTCAACGTGGTA